TAGTACACTAGAGAATTCTATAAAGTTCTTTGCCATTACAGTATCAGGGGGTAGCCATATTAGTCTGTATCCACAAAAACACGAGTCTGGTGGCACCTTAAAGACTAACAGATTTATTTGGGCATAAGCTTTCATGAGTAAAAAATCCACTTCTTCAGATGCATGGAGTGAAAATTACAGATGCAGGCATTATTATACTAAGAGAAGGGAGTTACCTCACAAGTGGAGAACCAGTGTTGGCACGGCCAATTCAATCAGGGTGGATGTAGTCCACTCCCAATAATTGATGAGGAGGTGTCAATTCCAGGAGAGGCAAAGTTGGTTTTGTAGTGAGCCAGCCACTCCCAGTCCCTATTCAAGCCCAAATTAATGGTGTTAAATTTGCAAATGAATTTTAGTTTTGCAGTTTCTCTTTGAAGTCTGTTTCTGAAGTTTTCTTGTTCAAGTATGGTTACTTTTAAATCTGTTATAGAATGTCCAGGAAGATTGAAGTGTTCTCCTACTGGCTTTTGTATGTTACCCTTCCTGATGTCCGATTTGTGTCCATTTATTCTTTGACTCTTAGGAATGTAGAAGATGTGTCTGTTTTCAGTAGCAGTATTCAGCACTCTTCCTGTAGTAGTATTCCCATTGAATGGAATATTACTGGTATGGGCCACTGTCAGAGAGAGGATACTGGGCAAGATGGTCTGACCCAGAATGGCCCCTCTTATGTTCGTAAGCCCGCTGAGAGCTAGGGTTTTACTTTTGTCCTCGTGGTGATTGCAGGATCAGGACCTTAATACGTCCACACTGCAATAAATGACCCGCAGCTAGCCCAGGTCAGATGACTCTAGTTCACAGGGATTGGGCTGTGGGGCTAAAAATTGCAGTGTAGACATTCAGGCTCAGGCTTGAGCCAGGCTGAGCCCTGCAAGCCCAAGTCCATGGGTTTGTTATTGTAGTGTAGACGTATTAAGGCCCTGGTACTGTAGCCACTTATGCACATTCTTAACTTTATCCATGTGACTAGTCCCATTGATATGCAAGCGTTTGCAGGATTGGGGCCCAAATTTGTAACCTTATCACTTCCCAACTTTTCGAAGGAGTTGGCTGCTATGACTAGCACCAAGTAGGGTTCTTTCAGGGATCATTTGCATATTCAAATACAGAGCGTACCTTTTGTCCTAATTGGATACCTTGAATTTTGGAGTGAGCTCTAATGTTTTTCCTAGGTATCCTAGAAAGATGCCAACTAATCAAGGGCCTTTTCTAGTTCCTTTGCTTATAGGCCCAGATTCAGCAAAACATTGAAACATGTGCGTAAGTCCATCCTTATATAAGGACTTAAGCACATAAGTGCATTGCTGAATCAGAGCCACCTACTGCAAACTCTTCAGGGCAGAGTCCAGGTCTGCCTGTGTGTTTGTACACGACCTACCCCAAATAGGCCCTGACCCTGATTAGGGATTTTGAGTGCAACTGCAATAAACAACAGCTGGAAGCTTGTGGAAATGACTTTGTTCTGATTTTAGCAAGAGATTTATTAATATACTGTTTAAATGCAATTGATATAAACATTCCCCAATCCTCGATAAATGGATGTTTAAGAGATTCTGACTACCTAATTTTTTTTTTTTTGTTCAAGAATTTTGGCCGGGGTGTGAGGGGAAGATGGTGGGAAGCCCAGAGCATCTGTTCTTTTCAATAATGCAGCTGATTCTCCCAGGGAGATGTTTAAGGAAAATACAAGTACCTTTAAAGAAAACATGTAGCTATACGGGACAGCTGACACTCAGTTGTCCCGTCCTTTCCCGTGACACACTATCACCCTGAGCAGCGTGAAAACCCAGGCCAGGCAGGCCAAACAGAAGGGAAGGATATAACCTATTGACAGTACCACTAGAGTTTATTCAGAACTTCTGCAAGCTTCAGTTTATCTTGTTGAGAAGATCCAGCCACAGGTTCCAGGTTGCAGCTAGACAAAGCTGTTCTCTTGAACCAGCCCATAAAGCCATGTTTTACAACCCCACAGCAGGCCAGGCTCACAAGGGAGATGGCGTCAGTTCAGCTCTTACCCTGCCTCAGAATGAACCTGACCATTGAAATGGCTCAACTTAAGGGAGTTTCGGAATCCCCATGAGGTATTTGCCTGCAGGGGAGTGGGCCTCCAGGCCTTGCTGGTTGCGTATGTTTTGTAGTAAATTTACACAAAGATCCAATAATGATGCAAACAGAGAAGGCCTGACTACTGAACTGGATGAGACAAACGTATCCTTAAGCACAGGGGCCATTCATTTTTGGTGTGAGCGATCAATGACCGGGATAGAAAGCACCCAAGAAGAGTCAGAGCTGCAGCCATTAGCTTTGGAAGCAGAGCCACCAAATGGCTAACCCCATTCCAACACAGTCGAACACAATCACCAGGTGCAAAACACACAGATTTTTAATTAAAACCACAATATCGGAGAACATGGGGAGGTGGGATGCTCAGGTATTGCTTTTGCAGACCTGGGGGAAGCCAGGTGGTGCTTCAGGTAGTGTGATGCATGCACGTGGAACCACTCAGGGAAAGGGACAAAACCCAAACAGGCCATCAGTTGAGATCTGACGGGGATCACAGTAATGACCAAGGAATGGAAGCAGCCTATTGCCAGATTATTGAGGGCAAGTTAAAGGTGGACCAATAGGATTCACACAAACACTAGCTGCTTAAGATTCCAAATCCTTAACAGAACGAGGGTGCAGACTTAGATGGTCCATAAATAAATAATTCCATATTAGCTCCTCCTTATGTCCCCCATCCAGAGTTACAGGCTGGCCCCAGTAAAGGTTGGTGGCATCACTAAAACCTAATGCAATGTAAGGAATGTACCCTTTGGGTGCTCTATTTTGCACTTTTATTGCATCTTTCACCAAGGATCGGAGACAGCTCTGCAGACATTGAGGTCTCGACTTTCATTTAGTTTGAACGGGAAGCCTAATTCCCATTAAAATTAAAGGGAATGTGGTGTCCAAATCTCCTAGACAACTTTGAAAAGCTCAGCCTAAGTCATGCCCAGTCTGCCAGGCAGCTATTATTAGACCTGTTTTACTGCATGGTAGGACTTGCCGAAGGTCATGCAATGAGGCAGTAAGGGCAAGATGAGACCCAGGCCTCCTCGGTCTAGAACACTGTGCTCTGGTCCCTGAACTGCATCCTTTTAACTACAGCACCAGAATATAGAATGCTCAGGGGTCCTGACAGGTTAAAGTCTTCCTAAGTCACTTTTCCAGTGGATTTATTTGTAATTTAACTCTACAGAGATATCCTGTTAATGATTTAGGAGTAAAACAGGGATGGATTTTTCACATTTTATTTAAAATGTAAGTTGATAAAGCCACTACGTAAAAAAACAAAACCAGCAGATTCGGTTCATCTGCAATTGTCCCACGCTGCACTAGCTCAGGCCCAAGCACTGGGATAGAGAGGACAGCTGCAGCGTGGCCAGGGTTTGCCTTTTTAGCCCAAGAAACAGATACTGCACCTGAATTTAAATGCATTTCTCATCCCTTCTTCCCCCAGCAGCAGGGCACAAGCTTTGGAGAAGGAAGAGGCTCATTCCAGGGGATGCAGCCAAAGAGAAAATTGTGAAAAACCCAATTCCATGAGCAAAATAAACTTTTTCCAATCATTTAATAGCAATCAAGGGGCTCAGATGGAAAAGGTTAGGCAGGCTGGCTGCAGATGACAGCATCAGGAGAAAAACTGGTATTGCACTCGCTAAGAAAGCCAAACAAAAAAGTGCCCCTGCTAGCCCTGCTACACACAGTTGGTGCTAACCCCTGCCACACTCCAACCCAATGTTTATTAATACCCCGGGAGTAAACTTGCCCTCTCGAGCTAGGAACTTAAAAAGAATCTTTGTCAGACCCAAGCGAACATGTAAGATTTACCCGCAAATCCATCCCATCCGTTTTCTGCCATTCCTTTTCTAGCACTGCTAATTACCAAAGGCATGTCTAAGCCCCTCATTTAATCAGAGGTGCCCCTAAGTCTAAGCCACTGGAAGTGAGAGTCTAGAACCGTTGTATGAATTAAGCACGCTGAGTAAGCCTTCTAAACAACCTGCCCATCTTGGGAAACACAGAGCATGTCTGGTGCTTTAATGGGGTTTTGGTAAAAATAATTGTACAGTTTGCCCCGGTAGGGTGGCAGCTGTTGCAGGGAATGAGGGAGGTGAAAGACTTTTGTTTCCAGCAGTTAAATAACAGATTTAAAGCCAATATACCTGCCCTATGCTGCATTCCCTACAGTAACGTCTACAGTGTGTGGGGATGTGCTACTGAATGGGAAAAATCCCTTTATTATAGGGCTGTCACTACAACTTCTAATCAAGCAAAAGCAGCCATGATAAATTACAGTGAGGACATTAAGGCTGCCCCCATTCTAGTGGCTGCTAAACACCGCACAGGAAAAGGTGGGTGTAGAGAAGGGGGCCGTGCCCAGCCTCAGCTGAGCCCAAAGTACTAATGGAGAGGGCACGGGTACCTGACGTGGAGTTTGTGCCTGTTAGCTACCGAGGAGAGGAAGTAACTGGCTCAGGCTCTGCTAGAACAGTGTCTTCCTAGAGCCATTCCCACATAAATGCAACCATCTGGTGTCCAAAGCCTTCCCCTGAGCCCATCTCCAGCTCCAAAGCCAGCTCAGCATTCTAGGACCTAGGCTGGCAGGGGTGGGGCTCCCAGCTGGTACCCTGGAGAGGACAAGGTGGTGTGAAAGGAAGACTCAAGGAAGTTTGCCAGGGATAGGGGTTGGAGGAGAAAAAGACAAAATTTTCTTACGCAGGCTAGGGGAGAGAGAGCACCCTGGCTTCATGTGACCCACAGGGATTTCCAACCACTTCTTCTACCCCTTGCAAAACACCCTTTGCAAGCAAAGGCAGCAGCAGAGACACTGGGGCCTCCTGACACCCAGGCACGTTCACACCCCAGAACCTCTTTTTAAGGTTTTCTTCACAGCCATAACAGCGAGAGATGGCTTTTTTTTTTTTTAAATGGAATCGAAGGCCTGGTCTACACACCTTGGGTTCCTCAAACAAGACAGCAAAAGATTCCAGTGAAACTGTAACCGCCCCACCTCCACTACATATCTTCCTCCCCTTCCCAACCCCCTACCTCCAGGGGATAAAGAGCAGAGGTCTTCTTGTAAAGCCCTACTAGACGTATCCCCTACCCAAACCCCATTCAAGCCACCCTCACGCCCAGCTCAGTATACGGCAGCCCTTCGAGCCACGAACAGTGTAAGACTGAACGCACTGGAGGCTAGAAGCCCCGCACTGGTTTTGTCCCTTTCTAGTCAGTGTGGGGAGCACTTGCATGAGCAGCTGCTCTTGGTCACTTCTTTCATGCAAGGTCGCTAAGTGCTTTGTAACTTTCTCTAGTTGTAAATACAAAGGGATGAATGGGCTGTGGGGCTGGAGAGGTGAGGAGGAGGAAGGAAGGAGGAGGAGGAGGAAGAGCGCCGCACTGTCGTCTCCACTGCATCGACTCCTCCCATGGTCTCTAAGATGTGACAGGCTGGATAGGAAGCAGGCTGCCAAACTTAAAGTGCTGGATCACAGGAAACTTCTCCAGGCACTGCAGGAACAGAGAAGGAGAGGTGTAAAACCAGCGTGCTGCAGGCAGGGGATCACCCCCACCAGAAGCAGAGAAAACCAGAGCACATTTCCACTTGAACAAACAACCCAGAGTTAACCCACTTCCAGCCTGAGATTGGGGCTCAGGAACCCATGTGGGCAACAAACACAGGGCAGCTCAGCTCTGAGATCCAGAGGGGCTGCGAAGGAAGAGCTACCTTGATGACTCTCTCCCTCAGTTCATTCCAGAGACACCATAGCCTTGATTCTGAGTGCCCATAATGCCCCTTGTCCTCAGCTGGACTTCGAGAGCTTAGCCCTTCGGACATTCAGGCCCCGAGTGTCAGTGGAAGTAGAGGAGTGCGATTTACCTCAGTAGCCATGTCTCTATCAATACCTTTAAGTTCACCACCTTGCCACAACGAAGATCCAGGGGCAAAGAACACACGGGGAGTTACAGAAATCTACGTGGGGAAGAGATTTGCCACCTCAGCTCTGGGATCGGCAGTTCTGGCCTCTTGGATTCAAATGTTTTGCAGAAATGAGTTTCCCACGTTAATTATACATTGTCCAAAACCATATTTCCTTTTTTTTGCTTTTAGATCCGTTGCCTTTCAACTGCACAGGCTGCACCCTTATTTTGAGAGACAGACGTATCGACTGACCTTCTCCATCCAATTCATTATTTTATATACCTCTGTTGTGTTCTCTTCTTATCAGTCCCCTAACCACCCAAGTCTTTTCACTCTGTTCTCCCAGAGTGGGCTCTCCATGCCCCTAATCATTTTAGACACCTCATCTTTGGGCCCTCTGGATAAGGTTTCAGTCGCACTGGGCACCATCTGGAACTGTATTTTCTAGCATATGACCTTTTCTGTTAACACTGATGTAACTCAGGCCACTTGCTAATGGGACGGCCATGGGAAGGAGATGCTGCTCCTCTGAGACCCAGCTGTATAGTACCAACTCCCCCAATGAACATGCAGGGACAGGACATAAAGGAGTGTGCTTGCTCCTTCCTGCTGTTCCTGAAAGAGAAGGAGGAGCAGAGAAGAACTCCCACAAAGCCAACACAAGCATCTGTCAGGGTCCCATGTTTGCAGTTGCACAAGCAGGGACGGTGGCTCCAACGCAGAGCATACAACCAACCCGTGCACCTCGCAAGAGGCGTTTTCCAAGGGAACAGGCTGTGGTCAGGCCAAACCCAAGTGAAGGCAGGAGGAGAGAGAGAGTCCGAGGAATGAAAGAAGAACACCTGGAAGGGAAAAGGGTGTGCAAAGCAAACTAACTGTGAGGTAGGGCTCTCCAGCCAGGCATCACACCTCAGGCCACACAACTGCTTCCTGCGAGCTTGGGAATGAGACAGATGCACAGCCACAATGGGAGCGGAGGAACGTGACCTGCTTCCACACACCTGAAGAGAACAGAAGGAAAGCCAGTGGGTTTAATCCAAAGCAGGGTGCATGGCCGAGAGTGGGAGCGGGTGAATCTGTGCGCTACTAAAAAAAAAGGATTCATTTTGGATACTTTGCCATGGGCAAGGCCAAGTGTCAAGAGGAACGAGCTGGATCAAAGGAAAGGCCTTTGTAGCAGTCTCTCAGCACCTGGCCTTTCCTATGGAGGGGTATGAAGTGGATCCTTGTCACGGCCCAGAGGGGCATGCAAGACTCACATTTGCGTGAGCATCCGTCTCTACAGTGCATGGCAACAACAGCTGCTGAAGGAGCAATCGTGCTCTGAACTGGGACAGAGAGCGGGGCTGGAGGGCATTCTCCTCTGCTAGGGCACAAGGATCTGGTGCCAACAGAAATGGGCAGCACCATTTAGATTCTAAAATGGCCATTCCCTGCAGAGAGGGAGTAGAATAAATGGAAAAGATTTTCAAACAGGACAAAGAGGGGTATCCGCTCCAGCACAGGGAACCCAGGCTTGCGAAGGGCTCACTCCATTACGGCACAGTGGGATGTGTCACCATCATATCCTGGGGAGTTCTACAGTTTACAGGGCAGCAGGACTACACCCAGCTCCCTCCGCCCCAGCGAATAGGTCCCTCAATTGCCTCACACCAACACCCGCTGCCAACAAGTGAGGACAATGCTCATGGGGTGAATGTGAACCAGACTGCATGCCAGGTGAGCACCCAATGCAGCAGGCACCCAGCGCACTACAGACCACAGACAGACCAGGAAGCAGCAGAAAGGAGCGCCCACAGAGAGAGAAGGAGCAATCCGCCTGCAGCACTGGAACCGAGCACTTCACTCTGCAGTGGCAGCTGCTGCTGGTGCTATTTTTAGTTGGGATCTTGTCTTGGCAGCAGGGCCTGGGGACCCTGCCTGTGTGGGTTAAGCTGGTCATTCTATGATCTTCTCCAGCCTGGTTACCCAGTGGAAGCCATTTGCACTGGCATTCAGACAGGGCAGGGAAACAACCAATACACCATGTCAACACCTCCCTGAAGCTACTAACTTGCTCTCCAGAATGTTAGGGCCTGTCTGTGTCAGTGAAGATACTACCTACACTGACGGGAGGAGTTCTCCCCTTGGCAAGGTAACTCCACCTCCCGGAAAGGCAACAGCTGGATTGATGGGAGAATTCTCCCATCGACTAGCCCTGTCTACACTAGGGAGTGGGTCTGCTTTTCACACCCCTGAGCTATGTAGTTATACCGACCTAATTTCCTCGTGTAGACCAGGCTGTAGATTCCAAAGAGCCAGCTCTCACTATTATGGCTGTGAATAAAACCTTAAAAAGAGTGAGCAGAGTAAGGCCTGGTCTACAAGGTTGCCTTAAATAAGTCATGCACAGGTGGGGAAAATCCACACTCCTGAGCAACGTAGTTAAGGCGACCTAACCCTGAGCATACAGGGCTAGTCGACAGAAGAATTCTTCTAGTTGCTGCCTCTCGGGAAGGTGGATTACCTATCCCAACGAGAGAAGCCCTACTGTCTGCATAGGTAGTATCTTCACTGACGCGCTACAGCAGAGCAGCTCCAGTGTTTAGGTGTAGAATTGCCCTTAGAAGAACACTACCACATCCCCCCTGCTCCCCAGTCTGCATACAGGGAGCTCCGAGCAAATTCCTAGCTTGGGTTCCCCCTGCAGGTGATCCTCTCTCCACCAGGAGTTCAATGGAAGAGATTTATGCCATGGCACCAGTCGTTCTCTGGTCAGTTAGAAGAGGGAGCTTTACTCTCTCCTCTCAGCACCAGTAGGCATCTGTCTCCTGAAGTCTTGTTCAATGGAGAACTGAGTGTGGGAAACTGGTCAGAGGCAGGAGGGTATTTTTACGCATTAAAAATAAAAAAATAAAACACAGTCTCACCGACCCTTTAGTGTAGGCTCTGACTACCTTTAAAAGGAGGAAGCCATGACGATCTGAGCACTGGTTGCACGGGGCTTAGGCCTTGTTGCATTGGATGGGTATTCCACTTGGGCTCTAAGTAAAGGTGCACTGAAAGCAATCATTGGGTGGAAGGCCCTGAGGATGAACGTTTGTCTGAAACATTCGACAAGCAGCAGTCACACCAACTGACTGCAATACCCGAGACACGATCTTTAGCTCAGGTGAGGCTGAGCTGATGCAGTTGGACGTTGTTTCTTTCCAGCGTGGATGGGAAGTCACGAGTTCTGCAGCCTGTCTTAACTCCCTTGCACTCCGCAGTGCCTTGTGTTTGGAAGTTTCCCAGAAGAGCCTATTCCCAGCAATGAAGCTAAGCACTCCGGAATAGGTCCTTCGGGAATCCCAGAATGGGCTGGTGACAGCAGACACGTCACGTGAACGCTCCAAACAGTGCTGGCAGAAGCAGCGCTCCTGTGACGATGTGCTGAACCATAAGGATAAGCAAGAGAACCAGCCACTCCATGCACTCGTTGTCCCAGCCATACTTCCCTGGCACATCACAGGCACAGCCATCTCAGGCCTTGTCTACGCTGGAGGATTGGGATGACGAGTCAGGAATGCTGCTCACCACATTGCAGCAGAACCGGAACAATCCCATCATGTGGGAATGTAAATCCAGACTCCTTTTCCAGAGGTTCATCTAGATCTTCTGAAACTTCCTCAGAGAGCCCCAGTTCTCCCTGCCCTTCTGCCTAGGGGGCAAACACTTCTGCTGCAGTCACTTCTTTTAAAGCAGTCTTGATTTTGTATTTAAGAGAGAGGCAGGAGTCAGTACCTGCGAGGGGGCCTGGCACTGTGACAACACACCCTTCCGTGGGCGAGTGGGCCTTTGTCTCCACTAACCGAGCTGAAGGATCCATTGCTGGCATGCCGGAAACCAGCAAGCACTTGCATGGCTCCTTGGGAGAAGGAGGACAGCTCACCCTCCCCCAGTGCGGAGCACAGACGGGGTTTACAGCCAGAGGCAGGCAGCTGTCATGGTGCTGTCGTCATCGGGGAAGCAGTGGGATTTCTGAGAAGGCCCCCAGGCCTGTGGAATTCCAGCAAGGGCCAGAGGTCAGGCTGCTTCCAGCAGAATTCAACTTCTTCACAATGCACAGAAACCAAAACAAGTTGGAAAGGTTCTGAGACCGGAGGTGGGATGCGGCAGGGCTGAATACCTGCTGGGGAAATAGTAACCCTGGAGGAAGCCCCTGCAAATGCTGAGAGGAGCCTTCAGGGAAGCAGAGCTGGAAAGCTGTGAGAACATGTAGGCGAAGCTGACCCAGAGGAAGGAGAGAGCAAACTGAAGCCTTAAGACCCTGGTGGGTGGAGCTGAGGTGGCTTCTAGTATCTCCACTGCCCCCAGAGGTTCTACAGGAGATGTGCTGCTGTAGAACTTGGCTGGTTTGGGTTCCTGCTGAACAGATTCCACCACTAAAGCAAAGCATGGGTATTTAGTCCACTACATGCTACTTCTGGCACAGCACCTGGGCCTCAAACATGTGCAGGGTAAACTGAGGAGCTCCATAAGAGGCAGGGACTCCTCCTCCAGCCAGCCTGCCGGAAAGTGAGGCCAGCGGTTCAGCAAAGAGATCTCTCCTCCTCCAGCAGAAGCAGGATTAGTGTCTCTCCTGCAGCCTTTGCAGATGGGATTGGGACTAGACTAGTCCTGATGGAAAGTATTCCCCATTTGACTGCAGCTGAGAGGGAAAGGACAGGAAATTCAGAGTAGGCTCAGGAGAACACACCACAGCTGCTGCTTTAGCCATGCTCCATTCTCTGTCCTTTGATGGAAAAGAGGATAAGAAAAGTCCCTCTCACTGCCAGCCAAAAACTTCATCCATTTAAAAAAGGCAGAAGATACTTTGTTTGCAACCCACTGCCCATCCACAGGCCTTGTACACAGAATCCTTGGATCCAGAGAACATATCCCACTCGCAAGGGAATCATTCCTATTTTAGGTTTGCTGCATTCAAGAGTCAGAGAGGTGCAAAGATGAGAAAGACGCAACCAGTTTGCCTTCTAAACGATCCAGATCTTATTCTTGACAGTTGCCCCATATTGTTATGTGGCATCAAATAGTTTTGAGTGGATGGACTTCCATCTTCTCCAGGACAACTGGTAAAGAATGACCCCTTCCCCTTCTTTCTTGCTGGCTCCACTTGCCTGTTAGGATGATGTGGCAGCACTTCAGTGTTTGGATGACATTGGATGCTTCTCACCATCAATCACAGCAGACATATACCTGAGAAGCCATTAAATAGCTGGAACATTGCTGGCTTGGTGCCTCCATACTGAAGATTGAGTTAATGTAATCTAATCAACAGCAAGAAGCCATGGGGGAAGAAAAAGTCAGTGGCCTTGCTCAGATCTTAGCCAGCCTGAGAGAGCAGTGAGAAAGAGTGAGCATTCACAAGTGAGAAAGAACAAGAATGCAAATCCCCCCCAGCTCTGTCAACAGCAGCTGCCTGCCTGGGGGATGAACGAAGATTCAAGCCAGCAATTAGGAGCTCCCTTTACCTAAGTATTGTCTGCTACCATTAGCAGCATGGAGAGAGGGAGAGAGAGACAGAGAGACAGAGAGGTAGAGATGGCAGAAGGAAGGGTTGGCAAATGCAGTACTGCTGGGAGGAAATATAAACTTGCTTCAGGGACCAGTAAGGGCTAAGATTTTCAAGAGTGATTTTAGGTGCCCAACTTGAGACATCTTGAGGGGGCTTGATTTTCAAAGGGTGGAGGCTCACTGCTATCTCAAGGTGCCTCCAGTTGGACACCCAAACTAAAAAAATTACTCATCACTTTTGGAAGTTCTTGGCTAAAATTTGCTCAGCCATACTAAAAAAAACTAAAAATAAAAAAACCAAAAACACCCACACCATTATGGCTAAAAGCAATGCCCGGCATCATCTGCTATGCTCCTGTCTGATCTCACAAACGGAGCAGGAACTGCTGGAATCAGTAGTTGAATGGGAGACGTCCAAAGTAGCTAGCAGGAAACGGTGCTGGTGAGTTTGTATCCACACCAAGTGAAGGGCCCATCGTGGCATTCAGAGCGCCCTGTGTGGTGCGAGGGCCCAAGCTTTTGGAGAAGATGAGATCCTAGCCACTTGTGGTTACTGGGGAGCCAACAGCACTTTTTAACAGGAGCATTAACCCTATTGTCCTTGTCAAAAGGTTCATCCTGTCAAAATAAGTCCTGCAAATTTCAACTGTACTCTGCATTTTTCCACTTCTTTCCTAAACTACTGTATCATGATATCGCACACAGTTTAAAAGCTTCTGCATTTCTCCCCAGAGGTGGATGCATCTCTCTAGGCATTTCAAGAGCACCCATTAGCATTGTATCCAGGTGCCTATGCGTAGTTTGCATTTCAGTCAGTAACTGTAGGAAGGAAGGAAGGAAGGCGCTACACAGATGTATGATTTAGTATTAACAACGTTGGTGTCTTGGTCACGGCCCCCAAAGGATGTCAGGGATGGGGATACATTTAGCACACACCCCTTGAAATGGCCAGACACCATGACCACTTCCCAGTCTCAAAAAGTGCTTCACAGACACAGACAGTTCCTTGGCAGTCCTGCGAAACCAAGAGGTGAAGAGATTTGCTGTAGCCCAGAGGAGGAGTCTGTGTCAGAGGCAGGATTGGACGCAGGCGTTCCAGGCTTACTGAGTCCTGCACTCAGAGCACTAGCCTGGAATAGTAGTACTGGAACAGCAGTTTGCATATATTTATGATAGGAAAATAGCCCAAAGGCAAGGGCCCGGTCAGGGGTAAGCAGCAAGCAGGTCACTCTCACACCTTGGTAGGTTGGAGAACCCCGGTGTGCTTTAATAGTCCTCTTGGAGCCAAATCCTCTGCTATGGTAACCACAGGCTCGGATGGGTCACCCCAGAGAATTTGGCCTCGGGTTTCTTACAGGGCAGAGGCCCCAGCCCCGGGAGCAGGACTGGCACTTGCTGTAGCTCTGGTTTAGACACAGGAGGCAGCACAAAGCCGCTGAGCTGAAGGAGCCAGAGAAGCAGGGGAGCGGTGGGGGGGGGGCATTACCCCACTGCCTGGCGATCCCAGCTCTTCAGAGGAAAGCTGAGCTGCAGTCGGAAGGAGCCAGCACAGTCCCTGGGAGTGACGCCTCACAGATTAGAGAGGTATGTGGGCTGGAACCTAAACACAGGATGTGAAGCTCAGAGGAAGGGAAGGGGGAGGGGAGAAGGGAAGGGGGAGAGTGGAGGAGGATAGGCACAGTTAACCCTTTCATGCACTCGCACTGAGTGGTGCTGCTTAGTCAAGACTCTGCCTTATCTCCTGGTGATAGGGGCATGGCCTGCCTTGGACCTGAGAGCACTGAGGAGGATATTAACCCCTTCAAAACCTACACCTGGGGAGCGATGGTGCCTCCAGTGCCAGGCAGCTACACTGTACAGAGTGCCACACAGGAAGGGAAGGGCACTAGCTCATGGCATTCCGCGGTCTTCTAACCCTGCACAGGCCCATGACCAGAACCCTGCCGCTGAGCCATGCCAATATGCTTCCCCAGCAGCAGAACAGTTCCTTCGGCCTACAGTTCCCCCGTCCTTCCCCCGGAGGCGCAATATAGATGGAAGTGCCTGTCCAGCTTCCTTAAGTGCCGCAAGAGGTGTACATGTAGGTGGGGGGAAGGAGAGAGATGTTACAGCCACAGCTGCCCAATCCCCCAGGTCAAGGTTTACAGAGCAAGTCTCATGGGCTGACCGCACAGTGGAGCAACAGGGCTGAGGGGAAGGCAGGCTGCGGCTGTGGCCTTGTCTACACACCAAACCTGCACTGATTTAACTGATTTGGTGTCTGACAATGTGGGCAAGCTGCAATCAAGAGCAGACACTCAGATTGGTTCAGGAGTCCCCACACGGGGGGTGGGCAACTGATCTAGTTCAGTTTGGGCAATTCCAGTGTATGGATCAGCAGTACATTTGCTTCAAGCAACAGCTCTTAATCTGGACACCTAGAATTAGCACGAGAGAAAAAGAGAGAGATGAACAAAGGCAAACATCATCTAAAGACTGAGGTGAGTGTGTTAGCTTTGGGGGAAGCTCAGAGGTACTCCAGGCCCCAGCCTCTCAGAAGAGATGTTATATGTATCAGTGTACAGTATGTATGGGAGGAGCTTGCCACAGGCTCTAGATCCAGACTCTCCCACCAGGGGGTGCTATGGGAAGCAGCGTAGGAGGGTGGTGCTGTACGCAAGCCTTAGCCTCTTGGAGCAAAAAGTCAGTGGATGATTGCTGGCTCTGTAGGAGCTCTGAGGTGCCCTGCACCCAGCTTGAAGGAGGTGCTGTGTAGGAAGTGATGCACTAGCAGAAGAGCTAATCTGAAAGGTTGCTGTGACCTGCAAGGCAGGAGTTGCATGCCGGATCAGGTGAGACCACACTCATCTCTCCTTCCCCTTCACTCACCTCTGCCTTGTACATGCGGACGAGACCTTGGTTCACTTTGGACCAGGAAGGTACAGCGCTGATGTTCCACAGCTGGTTGGAGTGTTCAGCGAAAGGGCCAGTCTTCATCTAAAACACAGAGGAAGAGAGCTAAGGGAGCCGAGCCAACAGGGAAGTTTGTGCACCAGCCCAGTGACTCACAGTCACACTCACTTCAACAAACATTCCTGCTGGGCTGTGTGACCCAAGCACCATCCATGTCACCGCGCCCTCCCCTCCTTCCTTCCACATGCCCTCCTGCAGCAGCACTACCACCCAAGGAGGGGGGTATCCCAGCCCCCCACACCCTGAAAGTGTTAAGCATTTTCTGCCCCACATTCTAGTCTAATCACATTTTTTCCTTCTCCTTGTATGAATTCATTAAAGAACAAACAGTCCAGCTCAGCGCTGCTCCCATTCTACCCAGAAACCTCCCCATGCAACACTGCTGCTGGGCTTTCCAAGAAAATGACTCATTCTCCATTCAGATCAACAACCAGCAGCAGCCACCACCACCGCCAACCGTGAATACAGAGGGCAATGCAGGTTGGCAGCAGCTCTTGCGCTCGGATCCAAACCCTGCACCTGCCATGAGCAGAGATGGGCTACAGGGGGTCTAGCAGTTCTTTAAAGTTCCTGCATTTCACGTTGCTGGTGAAGCCGCAAGGCTCCACCTTACAGTAGACGCAGCAAACGGGCAATGGATTTAATTTATTTTTTTTAACTATAGTGTTGAATCACTGATGCTAGCTTCTTTCCAGAAATAGATTTTGGGGGGTGGGGTTAGGGGGGAGCTAAACTCAGGGACAGCTGCCTCTAGATTATCCTATTGTTTGCCACTCTCCACCAACTAAACAGACCCTTAGGGAGAAAAAAAATCATGCAGCCAATCTGACTGAGCGAAATTCTCATGACTTCATAAACCACAAGGCCAAAGCTCAGGCTAAAAAGGATCATGGGGAAATAAGAGTCTTTTTGACTATCATGATAGGAGCACCCTGGGTCTTCAGTAACTAACCTCCCCCCCCCCCCCCCCCGCCAGCGGGGAAAAGTGTTTATGCTTTTGAAGCTGCCTGCTGTAAAAAAGCTGATCAATCCATTTGTGAGAAACTGCTGCCCTTCTGCAGAGGCAAAGTGGCAGCAATTTACAAGGAAGAAGAGGAAGAAAAAAAAAAATCACTACGAGGACAACATTTAGACTCCATTGACCTCAGGGCTGAAGCATTGTGGGTAACGGTTCTGTAGTTCTGTCTGCTCTGAACAGCTGCGATGAGAACACAGATGAATTTCTGCTTCCTCTTTGCAGTTCTTCTGAGCTGGGGAATGACTGATGAGCCACTAAACCGTTCCTGCTCCCCTTCGTTTTCTGTGTGCGCGCACATGTTTTCCTTGCAGATACAAGATGAAACACACACAAAATTAAATGGAGCTGGTGCGTTATTAAGCACAAAGATTTGGCATCCCATCATGACCAGTGGGTGACTGAGAAGATGGTGCACGTCAGGGGGTTATACTGACGAGGTTTGGCACAGTCCAGCTGACATGCCCCAAGTCTCATGTGCTCGGGATGCACTGCAAGGCAGTTTTTAAAAGCCTCTCTCCCTTTATGGAAGATTCTGCTGCATGCATTTCAGCCACAAGCTTCATTCTGTTCTCCAGTCCCTCCTTCGTTCAGATTGGCACAGCCCTGATCAACCCCTTTGGCTTTGCTCCTGGCCAGAAAGAGTTAAGGCAGATGGGAAGCTCTGAAAAAGCCGGTTACGATGGCCAGACCCACGTTCAAGCCATACAGGATTTGGGCGCCTGGAGCACCTGACGCATCTGTGACCGCGGCCTTCCTAACCCGTGTCCGCTCCAGCAGAAGACTTTGCTATTGTTTCGAACTGGGGAGGGAGGGCAGAGAAGGAGAAAAAAAAATTAGCTCATTTTTGCCACAAAGGGAGAAGAGAGAGAAAACGAGCGAGCTGGAGAGAGCGAGAGAGACAGCAAGAGCGCTGCAGTCCCGCAGTGACCCCAGGGGAATGTAGTGAGTCAGAGCAGCCATATTGAGCAGGAAATTACTCACAGACGCTGCGTTCCTGCCTCTCTGTTCCCAAGAGAATCAGCCTTTTGTAAATGGTTCCTCTGTCAGTAACTGGAGGGGGAGGGGGGGACGGCTCTGTGCAGTGCCTTCCTGTCAGTTCCTTCCCTTCCAGCTGAAACCTGAGCCCTCCCTTCCCAAACCTCCAAATTTAGAAGCCAGATTGAAACTGAAATTCTTCATTGCCTGCCCTTGGCTCTTAAAGGAACACAGCCCTGTTTTGTTCAGGCTTCAGCCCTCTGCACAGTTCAGCACACACACAATGCTTGTGCTTTTCCCCTGTATATACACACCGCAGTCCCACAGATTATACTGGAGATCTAACAAGGGACCAGCTTTATCTTTGTCTCTTGCAGAGGGCTCTGCATACTGTAGGCACCAGATAACTAACAGCATCGGAGAGACAAGGTGGGTGAGGTAATCTCTTTTATTGGACCAACTTCTGTTGGTGAGAGAGACAAGCTTTGGAGCCACACACAGCTCTTCTTCAGATCTGTGTGGCTCCAAAGCTTGTCTCTCTCACCAACAGAAACTGGTCCAATAAAAGAGATTACCTCCCCCCCACCCCTTGCCTCTAATATCCTGGGACTGACACAACTACAACTACACTGCATACAACACCATTCAAAGCACCCAGAGATATCACAGCTCACCAGTGATGGGGGGGGGAATTATGCAACAGCAGATTATTTCTTCTGAAGGGTTTTTTGGTTGAGGAGAGGTGGGGGTGATGTTCTGATACTTGCTTTTTGCCATTCTCTTTTTAAACACTGCTGTTTGAACATGGAAGTTAAAACCAGAGAACGAGCCAGTCCTACAGGCCTGATTCAGTAGTAGTGATACAACGTTGCTGTGGCACATTTCACCCACTGTTACATACATGAATAAAGCCTCACATTTTCCCACCCAGCACATCAGTGTTAATTCCATTTTACAGACAGGAAAACTGAGGCACAGATTTGTTCAGTTCATACTCTTTACATTGCAGCGGCACTTAGAGTTCCCTTGTCCTAGGCACTGTAGGAACACATACAAAGAAACAGACCCTGCGCAGAAGATCCTGCAATCATTTTAAATTACTTGCCCTCGGTCACAGAGCTGGAGGGAGTGGGGGGAAGGAAATCCAGGATTCCTGACTCTTGGTCCCCTGCTCTAACCACTACACAACACTCTACTTCCCTTTACACACAGGGAACTCTTATGTAGGGACCAAAGCCATTTAGGAACCATCTTTAAAAGTCATCCTATAATTAGTTAACTTATGTAACATTTGCTGCAATACTCATATAGATTACAGGGAGCATTAAAGAAGAGTTTTAGTGGATTCAGATCAGACATTGTGTTACTGTTACTTTAACAGTTTGAGGTTTAATACACACACAAAAACAATGTAATCCAGTATCTATATTACTGAAACATCACATACAGGTAAAGGAATAAAGAACTCAAAGAAAATACTGTATTTAAAAAAAAAAAAAACCACCACTGTAGTTGCTGTTTTTTGAATGGTTCAAAAGCAAGGAATGATCCGATACCTATAAAATGCACTCAGTCTAGGCTATATGTGTATGTAATGTTATGAAGGGAAAGCAGGCTTTCAATCAAGGGGATTAGAAGAAAAAAAAAAAGCATTAAAGTAAGTTTTAAAACCTTTTTCCCTGTTATTTTGCCCTGATATTTGTTGTTTGTTCATCTTGTTGATTTAATGGACAGAAAGCTGGTATTAAAAGCTGCTATAGCTCCACCTAGTGGCAGTAGCAACCTTTCTCCATGAAACGAAACAATTACATTTCAAAAGATAAATCTGTTTGAAACACTATTTATGATAAAAGATGGTTAAAAATATCCCATGTTTTATAATTCAGCTTGTCCCAAGTCTTTATCTGCTCACCCAACAAGAACCCAGAGCAGCTTTATGTACCACTAGGTGGCGCTATAGCAGCTAGACATGGTACTTTTAAAAATCCAGATTCCACCAGCTCCAATGAAATTTGTGGGACAAATATTTCTTTATTTAACAAGAGCCAGAAAAAGCTAATTTTTGCAAGGGAAAAAAAAATGACTGAAGAAGTTTTAAAAATCCACTTCAACCTATCAAATGTCATCTGCATTTTGCTTATAGTTTTTTATACCCGTGCACAGAAATGCGTATTTGTAATATATCCTCAATACAGGAACAAGTTACACATCCCAAAATTAAAATAAATCTTATGTTGGGCCAACTTCTGCTGGAGAAAGACAAACTTTTAAGGTTACACAGAGCTCTTGAGGACCTGAAGACGACCTCTGTATGAGCTCAAAAGCTTGTCTCTTTCACCAACAGAAGTTGGTCCAATAAAAGATATTACCTCACTCACCTTGTCTCTCTAATATTCTAGGACCAACACAGCTACAACAACACTGTAAACAATAAATCTTACAGCATCTTGGCTTCAGCTTTCACTGAGCAGGAAGCACAAATAGATCCACCCCAGACACACAATTTTTTTTTCCTTTGGCATTATATAGTCACATGTTCTCAATGATATTTGGTTTCCATTAGGTTAATTTTTAAACTGCAAATCAAGGGTTAAATCCCAAGAGATGCTAAGCACCAGCAGCATCTCCTGGAATCAGTGGGAGTTCCAAGGGCCCAGCACCTCTCGGGATTTGGTTCAAAGGGAGCTATATGCCACTTTTAAGAATTCACTATACTGTTGATTATAGTGGGGTGGGTTCATATCATGCGAACCTGCCTGTTTGATCACTAATTTAGCAAGAGGAGATAGAGAAAAAGGGGGCACAGAGGCATAGAACAGCAAGAAAAGAGTGGCACTGCATGCATAAAAATTGTGTCAGCCTCTATTTCTAGCAGGTTACCAGAAAAGCGATTGCTAACAGGAGTAGAGTGCACAGTCTTTGCTCTCCCCACAGAGACTTCATGGGAATGAGCACCGTATACATGTCCAGCCTAGACTATTTGCAGTATTGTAGTCATGTTGGTTCCAGGATATTAGAGAAACAAAGTAGGTGAGGTAATATCTTTTATTGGACCAACTTCTGTTGGTGGAACATACAAGCTTTCAAGCTTCATAGAGCTCTCCTGCAGGTCCTTACTCCTGGGGGAATTCTGCGCCACTGCACGTGTGCAGAATTCATGTCCCCTGCAGATTTCTTTGCTTCCCCGCAGAAAAATGACTCTCTGATAGGGAAGCAAAGGGAAGCTGAATCACTCCATAGCTGCACAGGTACATTGTTTCGGGCACCCAGAGCAGCTGGCAGAGAGATAAATCAGTGCCGGGCTGGGGACACTCCAGTCAGCGGCTCCTACCCTAAGCCCGGATCAGCGGCTGGGCTGGAGGCAGGAGAGGACGGGACTTCCTCTTCCCTGCAAAGAGTGTCAGACCCACCTCCAGAAACCTCCCCCAGCTGCAGAAAAGCTCAGCATCTTCCCCTGCTTCCTGTCCCCATCACTCCTCAGCTGTGGGAGGAAGGGTTACTGTACGGGGAATTGCTCCTCCATCCGCCCAAACCCCATGCATCTGGACCTCCGATACCCAGACACCCCTGCCAAGCCTCACCCCATATGCCCTGAACCCCCCTAGCCCTCCATACCCCAACCCCACCCCACTGAACCTCAAACCCTATATTTAGAGCACCCTGCACCCAGAACCCTTGCCTCCAGACCACCCCCCACTGAGCTCCTTGCACTCAAACCCCCACCCTGACAAGCCCCACCCTGAGCCCCCTCATCCAGACCCCCATACCATTGATCCCCAACTAGCTGCACCCAGACCTCCACCCCACCAAGCCCCACTCCCCCAGCACCAGACCCCCCTGACGAGATCCCCACACCCAGACCCCTCCACTGAGCCCCAACCACCTTCACCTGGAATCCCCTGCAGAGTCCCATTACCCCTGCACCTGGAACTCCTGCAACGAGCCTCTGTGCATCCAGATTCCCCCCACACCTAAATCCCCCGCTGAGCTGCCTTCACACAGATTGTCCCACACAGAATCCTCTCGCCCGACACCTGGATGCCCCCAACACTGAGCCCCTCCACACTTGGATCCTGCCTGGTTGAACCTGCCTGCCCCACACCTGGTGTGCCTGGTGCAGAAGGGCAGGGCCCTACAGTGTTTCTGGGGCAGGCCCAGGGCTTGTGCTGTGTCAGGGTTGGATACAACCTCACCACTGAGTCCATGTCCTAGGGTGGGAGTGGGGAGGCTGCAGGGTGATCTCCCACCTTTGTGCAGCCAGTGACCTATGCTCCCCACTGCCATGCTGGAGCCTCTGCATTTATTTATTGACAAATAAAACTTGCAGAATTTTAAAAACTTGTGTGCAGAATTTTTGGCACAGAATGCACTCAGGAGTAGTAGGTCTAACACTCTGGTTACCTTCCCCAGATCTGAAGAAGAGGTCTGTGAAGCTCAAAAGCTGGTACCTTTCTACCAAGAGAAGTTGGTCCAATAAAAGCTACTACCTCACCTACCTTCTCTCAGCCTAGTCAGACAAGCCACTCACACCATGTGGCTGCAGACAGGAGGCAGTAAGCACCATTGTTTAGAAACAGTGCCCTCTAGTGAAGATACACTGGATGTTACCATAGAGGGGCTTTGCCAAACCTTTTGCCAGCATTATTTCCCCCATCCCAAGATTCCATGATACACTTTAATGAGGACATGGTTCTGGACGCGTTACCAGCGAGGGACATCTCCCCTCACTAGCTCACAAGAATGGACATTTAATAAGTATCTTTTACCGCAGAGAATCAATGGCCAGGCTGAGATTTGGAGCAACCCAGGCTCTGTGGTGGGTTAGGGGCACACACAGGTGACCCAGATGCACTAGGGCCCTGCCAAGAGGCTTATTGCTGAGGGAGGTATAGCTTGGAGTATCAGGCACAAGGACCTGACTGAACAAGGAACACCAGCCATTTCTAGCACACGTGTTCTGAAATCACATGCCCTTGTCTTATCCAAAAAGGTGTCCAAGGCGATCTATCTGCTTTGTTTACCACCCCTGGCAAACCCCACTAAATCACCCATATCTACCTCCCATGCAGCTTCATCACATTCACTCTCAACATCCCTGCCGAACTCATTCAAGAGGAGAGTCAGGGGCTTGTACAAAGGCTCAGCCACATGTTCCACAAAGACGAACCAAAATACAAAAGGAGGAGAAAGCCACAGCAGGCACCCAATAATCCAATCGCAAGAGAACCCAATGCAGCTGAGAAGTCTCTCGATGGGGTAAGTATCCCCACCCTCACCTCTGTAATGAACAGGATGCACTCCAGGAACATGTAGTCCTTATGATTTTCATTCACCACCTTCTCGTCAACAAAGTGCCGAGGTTCCAGGTTTGGGTGTTCTGAAAAAAAATTCAGATGTCTGTCCTTCAGATACCAACCAATGTCAAACCGCCTGGTCTCTTCCTGCTCCAGCCCCTCATTATAGACACAATCCACTTCAATACCTTCCGGTGAGTTAGAGACAGAAGTTTCATACTAGGTCACCTACCACATGGGTCAGTGAAGGATTGGTTCCTACCAACCATACATTGCATAGGGCTTTATCCAGTGGAGTTTAAATGTCTCCATAGATGGGACTTTCACACATTTCCCTTGGGAGACACTTTCACAGGTTTCCTGATGTGTGACCTGTCTTAATTTCATCCTTTCATTGTGCCACCCTCTGTCATTTGTCTCCCCTCCTTGATGTTTGTACCATTAAAATACTGGTAGGTTCAGGAGCCCATAGCCCTCAGCTGGCAAAGCTACATACACATGCAGTCCTTTTAATCTTTCACCAGCCTGTTAACCAGGTTGGTTGCTCTCCTCCAAGGCTCTTCTCTGTTTGTCTACATCTGTCTGGTAAACGAGCAAACATTGATTTCTAAAGTATTCCCTCAGACCTCTTTTTGGCTTTTGTATATGCCCATGCAGCCAGTTTTCCATCCATTCTGTATGGTTTCCAGCCAAGACAACATAAGTTACGAGATTTCCTGACACACATTACCAAAATCAAGTTATATTACAACTACTCCATTCCTTTCACCCACTGATTTTGAAATTCAAAAATGTAACATTTGGTCCTTATAAACCCATGACTTCATTGGTCACAGCTTTTTATCCCCTAAATATTTACAGATACTCTCTTCTTAAAGTTTGCTCCATTATTTTACTAGAGACTGAAGTGGAATTTACTGGATGTTAATGGTCAGGCTCAGATCATTCTTCCTTGCTAGAGGCCATATTTCTAACCCTAAACTCTAAGAAAGCGATGCACTAGGTTCACTGACTTTGTCTCTAGGCCCAAGTCAATAGGATTAGTTGTGATGTCCTGGGTCTTTAACCCAGGTCTGGGAGTCCCCAGACAGCTGCCACATCCTGGCCTTCACCCAATGGCTACTGAAACCAAGTGGGCTGAGACACCACTAGGGCGATAGCCCCAGCCAAGGCACCACCCACAGGAGCTCTGATTGGAAGATGGCCCAGCTGCACCGATAGGTCCAACTACGCTATTTAAGCCAGGAATAGGAACAGGAAGTTTGTCCACGTAACAAGGTGGTTTTCTGTTGTGCCTGCCTTGGAGCCTCTTGTGTCTACTCCTGCACTCAACCCTGTTCCTCTTCTGCTCCCGGCTCCCCCCTTACCTTTGCCTTCACTCCTGTTCCCACCGTGCTTGATCCTGGCCTCTCCTCCTGCCCTTATGCCTCCCCGCCAATCCTCAGTGACCAATCCTGGTTCTGAATCCAGCCTCTGACTTCTGACCCTGATTCCAGCTTGACCCTTGGTTCTGGCATTTTGCATCTGACCTCGGCTCTGACCCTCAGCTTTGATTCCTGATTCCGATTCTGGCTTGACCTCAAGCTCTGGTAACTGGCAGTTGACTCTGTTGCTGACCCTCGGCTTCATTTCCCAAACTGTATGCCTGCTCCGCCCACTAGACCTGACCAGCTACGTCCCGGTCCATAACATTTGTGCAATGAACAATATGATGAGGGCTCCTATCTATGTATCAATGGTATCTCGCAGCACAGCTCCAAAGCAGAATTATCCTATGGACCAGCCAGTGCATTGTGTCAGATGCGTGTTGCTTGTTGTGATCAGTCTAGAGTATGCATTATTATTTGTTTACAGTAGCACCTAGAGGTCCCTGCTGAAATCAGTGCCCGCTTGTGCTAGGTGTCACACACACCCATTAAGTCAGAGGTGGGCAAACTACGGCCCGCGGGACCCTCCTGCCTGGCCCCTGAGCTCCTGGCCTGGGAGGCTTGCCCCCGGCCCCTCCCCCGCTGTTCCCCCTCCCCCGCAGCCTCAGCTCACTGCGCCGCTGGTGCAATGCTCTGGGCAGCGGGGCTCTTGCAGAGCCGTGGCCTGTCCTAGTGCTCTGGGCGGCGCAGCTGTAGCGCCACCAGCGCTCCAGGCAGCGCGGAAAGGGGGCAGGGAGCAGGGGGGTTGGATAGAGGGCAGGGGAGTTCAGGGTGGTGGTCAGGGGTGTGGATAGGGGTCGGGGCAATCAGAGGGCGGGGAAACAGGGGGTTGAATGGGGGCAGGGGTCCCAGGGGAGCAGTCAGGGGCAGGGGTTCCGGAGGCAGTCAGGGGACAGGGAGGAAGGGGTGGTTGGGTGGGGCAGGGATCCCAGGGGAGCAGTCAGGAATGAGAGGAGGGGTTGGATTGGGGGTGGGGGGCGGGCAGGAGTCCCGGGGGGACCGTCGGGGGCAAGAAGCAGGAGGGGTTGGATAGGGGGGTAGGGACCGGGCCCTCCATACAATTTCAGAAACCCGATGTGGCCCTCAGGCCAAAAGGTTTGCCCGCCCCTGCATTAAGTCCTTGCCTCAAATAGTTTACTATCTAAACAGACAGAACAAAGGAAGTGTGCCCATTTTACAGATAGGGAAATGAAGCCCAGAGATATTAAGTGACTTGCCCAAGGTGGCCCCAGAAGTCTATGGCAGAGCTGGAAATTAAACCCAAATCTGAGTCCCAGCCCAGTGCCTTCACAGTAAGAGCAGACTGTAAGCCACTCAGGGCAAAAACTTTCTTTTTCAGCACCAAAATACACCCAGGAGTCTCAATAAAAAACAGGTGTACTTTAAGGTGTTTCAACATTTCCACGGTAACCCTCCTTTTTCACAGTCTGACCAACTGGCTTATTTTGAAAGCAGAGAACAACAATGCTTAACTTCAAGCAAACTTTTCAAATCAGCTTTTTTTAAAGTCACACTTGGCTAGAAAAAAAAAATCCCGAACCACTGACGATCTTCACAGTGAAGGACAGAAGGGGAAAGAGACCAACGTTTTGTAGGTGTGTTAGTACCTATCAGTTGGGAACTGCCCCATATGAAGGGCAGAAACTGGAAGTCATCCAGGCCCCAAACTCCCTGGCTACCAGCTGGTTCCATCCTGTAAGTTTTCTGGAGTTTCCGCATCACCTCCAGGTACCTAAGATAGAGAAGAAAGGGAAGGGCTAAATAAGACATCAGGTGTAAAGGCTCAAGGCCTCTCCTCCCTGCTGAAACAATGGTGGGTTTCCAATCAGAAAACCCGTCTACATATACAGGAGAGAACCAGATGCCCCAAGCTCCTTCTCTCTGGACCCAGCACCAGCACCCTGATCCAGTCCAACAGCCTGCTGGCTGAGTGAACATCAAGCGTCCACGCTGGAGGAGAAACAAATGACAACAAACCATTTGTGAAAGGCAGAGGTTTGACCCAGTCAGGTTCACAGCAGGGTTAAGTTTACAGCTAACAGCTATCGGATATTGGTTTTCTTGTACCAAATTTCTACCTCTTGGTTAACCAGAGGACAGGATACACTAGTATAAATAAACCTGCCCTACTCATGTTACCCAGACAGCCCCTGCTTAGGAGGAAGAGGTATCCAGAGCCTATTTTGGCCATTCAACTATACAGAAGAGGCTAAGCAGGGAAATCAAGGAACAGCACTTTGCCCAGAGGAGATAATGTAAGTGGGTGATGGTGACAGCATAAAAGGCAGCCGAGTGCCCAAATCTTTTGAGGAAGATAGAGCTAGTACCTGTGGATGACAACTCTGACTCACCGCAGAACATATTCCGTCATGCCCATCACTCTGTATCCGCTCTCTGTGCCCATTTGTGAGGAGACAAGAGGGAGTACGCTTTTAAAGGTGCTCCTTACAGACCAGGATCAGAACCCTGGATCTAGGACTTGCATACAGCGCCCTGCATATAACGCTGCATGCTCGATAAATGTTCTGCCACAGGACCAGAGAGAAAATTGGGCCTGATAGTAGATTTAATGGCAAACACAGCACTGAGGTTTTTACTGAAGTCAATATAAAAAAAAAGGGAGCAGCAGCTTTTGAACACCATCCCTGTGTATTTTACTTTGCTGCAAAATTTTTCTGTCTGTTGCCTGATAACAATGACACTTCCCCCTCCCCCAGCTCTTTTCATCAGAGGATCGCAAAGCGCTTTACAAATATCCCTGAGTTAAGCTGTACAACAGTCCCTGTGAGGGAGGATTGATCATCCCCACTTTACAGATGGGGAAAGTGAAGCGCAGAGAGGAGAAGCGACTTGCCCAAGTTCACACAGCGAGTCAGTGGCAAAATTGGGATTAGAACGTAGGCGTCCCAATGGCCAGTTCTCTGCTTGCACCACTACAAACCCCACCTCCTGCATTGTGGCAGCTCTCAAGAGGAGCTGTGGAGGGCTTGCAGGCTCACAGACTGAAAGGTCAGAGGATACCATTAGATCGTCTAGTCTGATCTCCTGCGTAACACAAACCACAGAATTTCATCCAGTTACCCCTATACTGAGCCTAATAATTTGTACTGACTACCCTGTATCTTCCAGAAAGCCATCCAGTCTGGACCTGAAGCCATTAAGAGATGGAGAATCCACCACTGCCCTTGGTAGTTTCTTCCACTAGTTAATCTCCCCACTTGTTAAAAAAATTATCCTTTATTTGTAATTTGAATGTGTCTGGCTTTACCTTGAGTCATTGGTTCTTATTATACCTTTATCCACTAGGTTGGAGAGCCCATTAGTAGCTGGTACATTTTCTCCATGAAGGTATATATACACAGTGATCACATCACCTCTTGTCTTGGATTTGGGGTGGGGACACATCGATTACTGTCCATCAGGCAGTGTGACAACACAAAGGGTGTGGGGGCACATTATGACCAGATAGTAGCGAGAATTAGGTTTGGTGGACTGATGGTTGCAGGCCACATGCTTTATGACCAGTGGACCACAGACAGATTTGAGGGGAAAGTGCCCTAGGAACAGCTCCATCTCACCTGTACTTGCATTGCCTTACCTGTTAAACACTTTGAAGACAATGGCCAGCTGGTCATCCACCCTGAGAACACCAATTTTGCACAGGCAACAGAGGAAGGCAGCAAATGCCGCTTCGTGACCTGGGATTGAAGAAAAGGAGACAGACAAAACATTGGTAATTCCCATCATAGATAAGCTCCCTGCAGGTGCTACAATGGCTCTTTGGAGGACACAGCAATCACATCCCCATGAGCGGCAGAGCCGCAACCAACAAAGGCTCCTTCTTACTTGGATAAGATCACAAAAGACTCCTATTATTGACACCCAACAATAATATTTCATACCTACATAGCACCCGCTATCCAAGGATCTCACAGTGCTTCACATCCATTAACAAATTAAACACGTACCCTTGTGAAGTAGCGAAGGATTAGTCCCATTTGTAAAATGGGAAAACTGAGACGCAGAAGAGGTTATGTGACTTGACCAAGACCACGCAGCGAATCAGTGGCAGAATTCAGAAGCCCTGAATCTAGTCCAGAAATTGAATCACTAAACAACACTTCTCTTGCACCCACACATGAACACCCTTCCTGTTCATATTTAAGGAATTAAGATGTCAGTTTCATCTCTCAGAGTGGTAGCCGTGTTAGTCTGTATCAGCAAAAACAACGAGGAGTCCTTGTGGCACCTTAGAGACTAACACATTTATTTACCTGCAGAATGAAATATTTTGAGAGCCAGGCACTGAGAGACTGGAGTGTTGGGAGCAACTCCCTTTCTTATGAGCTGATCAAGAGGATGGGGGAGCCGGAGAATTCCAGAATAACCCAACGAGGGATGTGTGTGTTTGGGGGTGGACACAAACACTCATTAGCAATTAAACAGATTTCCTCCTACTTTCAAAAGACCCTATGTCAGAGGGACATTAGCCCTGCTCCACCCCAGGGAAATGCACCGCCCTAATTTGCCCAACTGTCAGCCATGGGCCACCCGCTCTATGCAGCTTTGTCCTCTGGCTAACAGTGAAGAGAGCAAAATAAATGCAGCACTCAGAAGAGCCCATAAGATATTGGGGCTGGTTGCAGAAAGGTGCTTTTATTTCCCCTTGGGTGGGAGAAACTACGGCAATAAAGCGAGTAAATAAAGGAGGTGGCTCCACTTTATAAAGCCGTGCAGTTGCTGGGATATGAACAAGCTGCACCTAAGGTCTAGCTGTGCTGAGCTGAAAGAATACAGAACCCAATGCTCAAGACAGAGGAGTGGTGGAGAGACTGGATTTCCCTCACCAAGCTGCAACTGACCGTCTAAGTCAACAGGTCCATTACCAAAGGCAACATCTCCCCCTGGCGATCAAGAGCTGCAGCACAGCTGGTGAGGAGATTTGCATACCTGTGTTTCTTCATCTCTTTATCTCAAATCTCCTCCTCTCCCTACCCAGCACATTACAGAGGTCACATATTTCAGGCTCCTGGCATGCTACAATGACCCTCACTCCAACTGATTAAGTCATTAGCTGGACATTCCTCTCCGAGCCCTCTTCCTCCAATACATACAGGTGGGACTCCTTGGAATTTCAGGGTCTGCTCTCATACTGATGTAAATCCAAAGTAACCTAACTAAAGCCAATGGAATTACTCCAGCTTTTGATTCTGACATTTCTCCCTGGGCCCGATTCTGCTCTCACACTAGGTCTTAAAGGTCCTATGTGGTATTTATGACACACATAGCAAACATTTGTGGCCACTTATGATCTGAAGACACTTCTCACAAAGTATGAATATTAACTCATTTCCTGATCTGATTCCAATCCAAGATATTACATTTTAGCTCCTTAAACTCCCCCTTGTGATTCAGCTGCACACAATACTCCATATACACTTCCTGTTCTACACCATCATGCAGTGTTGCTGTGCGCTGTTAAACAGCTCCCATGGTACACGCCAGAAGTGACAGCATTTCAATAGTGGTTGCAATGGTCAATTAATGTTTCTAGAGCACTTTGAGCTCCTTGGATGAAAGATGTTATAGGGAAGCTAAGAATACTTATTTTGAAAAACTTAAGATGACTAGGACTGAAGTGGAGGCAGCCAAGAATCTACATCAATCACAGCTCTGGTATAATCAGATTCTGATCCCCTGCTCTCTCCTGGCCAGTTTTAGCCTTGGCGTGATCCAGAACAGTTCCCTGCAATGGCATATATTGACTGTAGGGGTGAATTCACGCTGGGGAATCTAAGCCCAGCAAGGCTAGATGAATTAAGTGTGCACGTGAAGGTACCTGTCCCATAGTCGATGCGGGTGGAGTTCCCCACGGATTCCTTCAGGTATAAGGCTACCTCTGGTGCAGCTTCAGCCAGATGCTCAGGGACCACTGTTTTAACCAAGTTTTCTGCTTCCTTAAACACAACAACGAAAGGTTCCTGAGCGTTAACCTAGATGTGCCACAAGCCAAAAGATGGGTACAAAGCACCACCAACACCCTCGCTATTGGCTGGAGTTGGTTTTGCATGGAGCGAGACACCCCCTCCAACAAACCAGATTGATTAGGGGAAAATAAGGAACTCCAACATTATTCAAAAGCACCTGTTACAGGCCAATATAAGGAGCAGCATTAATTGTCTCCAGGCTGGTGAATTTGTAGGTCACCAGTTGGGGTGGCAGAGATTTAGTCAGAGAGAGTGGCTTATTCCCCTGCCTGCTGTAAGGGCGTCTTCCACTTAAAAAGCATCCATCCTGATAAGCCATTGATACAGACGCCCCACTTGTTGACAGTCTCAGTAGAGCGCCCCAGGCTTAGATGACCTGGCGAGTGAATTCCCCTACAGTCACTGGAGGTGGTCTCTCCAGGGCAGGATTGCGGCATGCCGGGGAGCAGTGTGCTGAGCGCTTGCCCAGTCACTGCCTGGCCTGTATCTTTTTTTGGAGAGAGAGGACTTCAGTCTCCAAAGCCATCCACCTAGTACCTTTCGTTGGCACTCAGTGCCCTGGAAACGAAACTTTAACAAACTGCAACGCAGTGCATCTATGGGCCCAGAAGGAGCCCATGGGTAAATGCGCTGCAGCCTACTACAGTGCACTCTGCCTCCACGAGCTCCATGGAGCCTTCTCTGGGGTGAGCCCTCTCAGCTGAGGCAGGCCAAGCTATGCCATGGGCCATCACGTGCCTGCTCCCATCTGCCATATCTACAGGCAGGTGGACACAATGATTGGTTAACAAAGGAGAGCAGTCAGTGAAGCTCCTTGGGATTACCTCCAGGGGACAAAGACCCTGTCAAAGAGCATGTAAAGGTGAGTTGTGCTCCCATGGGGGTTCAAGACCAGCACCAGACCCGAGATCAAAAGACCTGAAACATAGTCCCCATCTAACCCTGCAAGTTGGTGGGTCAATCTACTGACTGACCAGGTACAACATGAGGATGGCAGCCTTTCCACGATCATTGCAGGACGTACTTCTTGCTGATGAAGCCACCCGTTTAAGTCCACCATCTAAGAGTCTCTCTCCCAACCCCTACATACCTGGTCTAGTTTGGCGTACCAAGTCCTGAAGGCCTTATTCCCAAAGCGAGAGGGCTGGTTCACTGGCGGGGTCTCATCAATCCACCTGTCGAGGGTATCCAGGAGCTCCATCAGCTTTTCAATTGGCTACGGGGACAGAATGGGTGACAGCTCACAATCAGACAGGAGAAGAAAGTCTCACACACAAGCACAAGCCAGTCACCCTAAAACCATTGCCCTAGGCTCCAGCATTTCTGTTTTACCTGCACTTGCCAGTGTTCTCCTGGCATTGAGTCGCAGACCCCCAAACGGACCTTGCAAGGGATGGAAGGGGATAATGGGTCACACGTCATCTCTCTAAGGTCCACAGTGGCCAGCCCCAACCCTTCACATCAGGAAAGGACAGTCCAGTCCGAAAGACAACAGCCCACATCCCATACTGACCTGGGCTTTCTGAGAGCCCAGATACAGCCACTCATTAACAGCAGCTTGAGAAGGCAGACATCTCTTCCAGGGACTCAAAGACTCACGTACAATGCAATACTACGGCCACATAAGATGCTCTATTGTTGCAGGTTTTTTAAATGGTCACATAACTGTGCTCCAGAGTCTAAGATCTCATCTTAAAAACGGAAGTCCCTAGCCTGAATACTTGCAAAGAGAACCTGACCAAACCAGGGGAGGGAGTAAGAGGTTGGGGGGTAGGGCCACATCATTCAGGGGTCTCTGACACGCAGTGGTGGGCTCTGCACCACACATTTGAGATCTAACGTTCCCCACAGGACACATTATACTGTTTAGAAAGTAGCCTGACTGCTGCTGCCCTGCTGGCTGACCTTGGTCAAGTCACTTCAGCCCAGATCCTCAAAGGCATTTAGGTTTCTAACTCCAAATGATTTCAATAGGAGTTAAACGCCTAAATACCTTTGAGAACTGGGGTCTCTGTTTCCCCGCTACTCTTTGTCTGTCCTGTCTATTTAGACTGTAAGCTCTTTGGGGCAGAGAGACTCTCTTACTAGGTGTTTACACGATGCCTAGCACTAAGGGGCCCCAACCTCGATCAGGACCTCCACCTAATACTCGTCACAGTCGGATTTCCAGAGGTATCAATCCTCTCTGCAAATCAGATGATCAGTGCACATGGCACTTCACAAACGCGCACATACGAGATACGGTCGCCACCCAGAAGAGCTAACAGTCTCACTCTCCAGGATTCCCAGGAGAGGGAGGGAAAGCGGTTGGCGCAGGGGGGGACAGGAAGCATTCCAAAGAGGAGGGAGGTGTGACGGATGGCATGACACTGAGAATGGAAGACGATGATGATGGAGCAGAGAGATGCCACCGAGGAGCAAGAAAGGCAGAGGTGTCCAGCCCCTTGAAGGTCGAGATGAGGAGCTTGATTTTGATGTGGAGAGAGAGAGAGGCAGCCTGGGAAGGGGTTAAAGGAGGGGCTGACACAGCCAGAGCAAAGGGAGAGCAGGATTCTAAGTAATGGGGAGCCTTGGGCGAGAGAGACGACTCCGGGGGGCAGAGACTGGCAAGCAATACAGAGCGTGGTTCAACACTGCGCGGCTACATGCAGCCTGCTGGAGAGGCTTTAGGGTTTGAGCCCAGGACATGCAAACGTCCCCTGGGCCCAGACCTGAGGCCCTCTGCGGGCAGCCACTACAGCCCCGGTTCAGTTGCAAAGCAGAAACGTTGTGGCAGGATCATTGTCCAAACCCCAACCAGTGGATTAAGCTGCAGAAGGCAGCACTAGGAGGCCCCACTAACAACTGTGAGATATTTTCACCTGCCAACACATTTGGGATTCTCCACTCCCGAGTCGGAGCAGCCAGAGCCGCATTGGTCACCACGGCGGCCGGCTGGGCCCTGGGCAACAGAGGCACCACGGTCTCAACAGGGGATTCCTCCTTCAAGGAGAGAAAGAGGACAGACGAGGCAGGGGCTGGTTTGACTTTGCTGGAGGCATCGACCGTGTGAAGCCGGCTGGTCTCCTGGGCTGTGGTTCAATTCTTCATGCTGCCTGTCAGAACAGGACTAGGAAACAGCAGAGCCTAGCAAGTTTCTAGCCCTTGAAGCGCCACTAGAGGGGCGGGGGAGGAGACACGGGCAGGCAGTGCTTTTCTGTCTTTGAACCAGCAGCAAGTCTCTCCCCCCCCCCCTCCACTGCAGGGAGGTCTTTCATGACATCTGCAGCTAGCTGAGCAGGTGCCTCTCCAGACACTGGCTCCGGAGGGGCTGCTGGAAACAAGTGAGGGTGCAGCATAGAGTCATATAGCAGGAATCTAGGATTTATCTGCTGCAAAAGGAGCCCCAAATCCAGACCAGTGAAGGGGTCTAAAGAGGATGGCTGTGATTGGTGGGTGGGCAAGAACAGATTAAAGCAGAGAAAGCTCAGGAGGGACCCTAAGCACAGCATCTGCAGATGCACTGGGGAAGATGACAGGCCACATGCAACCTGGGAGCCACTGTAAGATCACAGGCTGGAATCAGCGACAGAGCAGCACCCGTGACTCGAGCGAAGTGGGACGAGACTATTATTGATTATCTGTATTGCGGTGTTGGAGCCCCCGTCGTCGTTCAGAACCCCATGGTGCTAGGCACTGTACAAATCCAGAACACAGAGACAGGCCCTTCCCCAATGGGGTTGGGCTTGGTTTTCAGCTCAGCCCGACCTGGCTACCACACTCCCCTCCAATTAACAACAGAGGCCCCGGCAGTGGCTTTTGTTAAATAATTAAATAACGCCAGTGATTTATCCGCCAGCAGCAGCAGCAGCTCATTACGAGCAGCTCCCGTATTTCAAACCCTCTCACCAAGCCGTGACTGCGGCGCTCGGTGCCGGCTGGATAAATGGCTGGCAAGAGATTTTCTTCTTTTGTCCCCCTTGCAGTCTCTGCCTCCAGGCCTCAGGGAGGAGAGGCAGAGTCACGCCTCCCTTCCTCACTTGTGGGCTTTAAAGGGATTAAAAACAGCCCAGCTGAACACAGGAGAGCGGGACCCAGCTGCTGGCTCAGCCATGCCAATAAATAATTAAAGAGACGCAGCTCATTTTGGGCTCGGGGCCCTTTGAACGGGGGCTTATTGAAAGGGGCAGGTTTCCATTGCCCAGCAGAATTAACATGGCAGAGGAAACTCATGCTGCCAGGGGTGAACCCAGCCCGGGGAAACAGCAGGGCTCACAGGAACTCAGCAATCAGAACCACTGCAGCATGGTCTTGGGTGGCTAGGTTTTTAGGCTCTATTTTTACTTTACCTTCCCAGGCATCAGAGCAAGGGCAAATCCTCCCCCTCCTCCTCCCCCCGCCACCGCTCTTCTTTCTGTTGTGCTGATTTTGCAGCCTGTCGCCCTCCCAGACCAAAATCTGCCCTGTGATCACAAAGGTGAACCCTGTAGCCTCCTATGGAACAGTGACCTGACAGCGTCTCTCGTGAGCATCAGCCGGCCAACTGTAGGCGATGAGATGGCAAATGTCCCCTCTAGAGCCCAAGCAGTCAGGTACCTTGGTGTCAAGAGTGACTGCTTCTTTCCCACCCTTCCCCCCTAGAATCCAAGCACGTCAGCCCAGAGCTGGGTGACAGCCACTCAAGTGCAGGAGATTCCCAAATGCAAGATGGAAGTGGGCAAACACCATAAAAATAAATGTGATCTGGAATCACAGGGACTATTTAAAGGGTCAAGGACCTCTCTGCAGGCTGCACGTTCTCTTGCCCCAATTCTGCTCACTTGGAAGCTCAAAATTAACCCTTTCCCGCCACATTAGACATGCATGCCAAAGCCACACCTGTTACTACAGACTGGCCTGGGAGACAGCTCCAGGAACATCTCCCAGCAAGCAGCCAGACACTCAGACTCCACTGTGGGAGCCATACGCAGCCCACAGGCAGATGCTCAGCCCTCTTATTTATTAAGTGCAGCCTGTGTGTTCAGTGCAATACCAACACCCAGGCCGGTGCCACAGAGGTTACAGTCTGAAGGTCTGGCCCTGCCAGGTGGATCAGCACCTCCTGAGAGGCCTGGAGTGCACTCAGCCACCAGTGACTTCATTTGATTTCAACAGGAGCTAAGCATGCTCACACACTAAGTGTGCTCACTTTGCAGGATCACACCCTAAGTTAGACACATGACAGGGTTAAGACACTCAATATCCTGGAGACCATTAGGTGGTCTGGTCTCTCCTCTCCCATTACTCCTTTCTTTGGTGAACCGACAAGTGATCAATTGCAAGGAGGATGTGCATGTAAAGGAGGGATTTGAGGGAGTGTTAGGTGCAGGCAGGAGTTCCAAGGAAGGTATAAAGATGCAGAAGGAACCTCATCAGGGAGTAGGAAGCACGAAGAAAATGGATGCAGCCTCATCACCAGGGCAACCCATCGGACCTTCCACCCCAGAGTAAAGCAGATACATTTTGCCTTCAGTCACAGGTTTCTACCCTGCTCAGCATGAAGGCAGGAAGATAGGTTTCCTGTGACTTTCTTAGTTGTTGACATCACATTTGGGATTTGTCACTTGCACGGAAACCATTTCAAGGGGATCTGCCAAGAGGGGGGGAAACGCATTCATGCTTTTTCTGCTTCTTTATGATGGTTAAAGGCCTGAAAGGGTGGGCGGCTGGGGCTTAAAGTTATTATTCTGATTGTTTTAAACATTAGAAATTCAGGTCTTGCTACTGTCTTTTCCCCGTAAGACTCTAGTGATGACTGGAGACCAACAGGATTATGACAGAGGCACACTGTGCAGGCAAACCCTGAACAACTGAAAGGGGGAATGGTTTTTATTCAGACTGTTTAAAATGGGATTTTGGCAGCTACTATTTAACCAAATGCCTGAACAAAAGTTGGAAGAAAAGTGCTTTTGGTAGAGATTCCACAGCCCTGTTCTTTCAGCAAAGGGCGAGTGAGTTTCTAAGCCACGTGTCCAGCTCCTGAAGGGAAATCTCCCCAGAACACAGATGGCCAGCCCGGGCATGCCTGATATCTCTAACAAAAAACAAAATGTTGAAAAAAACCTTCCTTCCAGGCCTCCTTCTTTCCCCCCCAGGAAGCCGCAGCCAGACAGGGCACAAGTCCATTCCTCCCTCTGCCACTTGCAGGTCTCCTTTAAGCAGCCCCATCAACCTGCCCAGTTGTGTCTGGTTATAATTGGAAAGAGCTAAGAGGGTCCCTAGAAATTCTCGTAGTCACTCTGCACTGGACAGTCCAGCGCTGCTTGGAAGATGAGGAGTTCAGTGACTGACACAATAACCGCAGGTCAGTGCTACACCACTGCTTACTTTGGAATAATGACGGAAACATGACAAGTTCCAGGGGGTAACGCGCATGAAGAGGAAATCTACATTATAACCCTGAGAGTCCACTTGGAATCCCACCTCTGGCCTCAAACAGCCTGGACACCACTATGCTGAAAGAACTTTCAGCCCACTTGCACAGGAGGAGCTGCAGTGTTACAAATGCCACCAGATGACACACACACAAAACTCACCCGGGGAAACCAGGTCACTAATGCCCTACCGTCCCCTAAGGGCCTGCTGAACACCACTGAACTAGTGCTTAGGGCACCTCGGTCCAAGCTCCTCTCTTCCTTCCCCCGCCCAGTCTTTGTTCTGCTCACGTCTCATAAATCAGATTAAAAGAACACGAAGTGCAGCATTAGACAGTCTGGACCCAGCCAAAAATCTGCCCTGAGCTCACAGGAGCCAATGCTACTCAAGATAGGGCCCAGCAGGGCTCACTCAGAGTTCAGGCACAGCAGGGCAAGGCGAGCTGCATGGAAGGATCCAGGGTAAACCTCTCTGCACCACACCCCTTGTTCAAACAATAGAGATTAGAGACTATGACAGGCTTCACACCAAGGGGCAGGAGCAGCTGTAACTGCTGCCCAGACAACAGCGCAGGAAAGGCAACTTGTTACAGTCTGAAGAATCTAACTGTCCCCTAAGGGGTGAAGACACAAGAAACCCAAAGAACGGGGGCAAAGGGGGAGCAATATTTTGCCCATCTGTAGCATCTTTCAGGTCAGAGTAAACATGAATGATTAAAACCTCACAGCCCTCACTGGGAGGTCACTACTAATAACTCCATTTGAGAGATGGGAACACTGAGGTACAGAGAGATTAAGAGACTTGCCCAAGGTCACACAGCAAGTCAGCGGGAAGAGAACCCAAGACTCCCAATCCTCCACTATAGCCATTAAATAAGATGGCTTCTTGTTTTCTGGTTGAGAGCAGGCAGCAATAGCGTAATGGGTATGGACAGAACAGGGCCCCTCTTCTTCTTCACCCCGAGCCCCTAAACACCCCAGCTTCCTCTCAGTTTGCTCAATTACAAGTTTTGCGAGTAAGCAAAAGGCACGTTACTAGATGAAGCATTGCATGCTGGTACTTGTAGTCTCCACAGGCTGCTCTACCACTGTTAATGAGGGAAGCAGATACAGTCTGGCTCCACTTTATTCTCTGTGGGGCACCAGGAAAGCAGCCATCGCAGCCCTGGGCCCTGCTGTGGAAGGCAAACCAGCAAAAGCAAGATTGGAAATAACAGGGCTGGGGCCTTTTCCCACCTCAGATACTTTGTATTCACAGGTCAGCTTCTTGCCCTTGACACCTTCATTCAGGGTGAGGATGAAGCCTATGTAGTCTGCATACGCCTGCAAACAAACACAAGTAGAAGGGGTGTTAGCTGAGCACTGACAGTTACTTTGGAGGCAAGCAACGCCAGTGTGAGAAGCCTAGAGCAAACCGAAGGGACGATGCCCAACCCACGGCATCAGTTTCCTGGCATAGCCCAGGACACGGCTTGTTCTGCTGCTACTGCCTTGTCCTTGGGGACCCCTAGACCGATGGGAACTCCTGGAACAGCACTAAGTGCACTTTGAGCCCTCGGTGGTGACATCACACTGACCAAGCTCTCTGTACAAACAGCCCAAACCACGACCCTCCTCCTTGAATCCCCTTGCCAGGTTCCTGTCTCTTACCATGCCACGTTCAAGCTCCTCATGTCCAGGCTTTGCACAATCTCGGCCCTGTCTACATCACTGCTTGTTTCTTCCTACTCCATATCACTTCTCCCAAACCTCTCCCTTTATCTACTTCTCCTGCTCTCTGCGCCAGGCCTTCTTTCACGCTACCCGCAATTAGGAGAAGTGGCTGAAAGCTGCCCCAAGCACATACCTTTCTCTCTCTTCTTTCAACCCCCCTGCTTGTGAAGCGCCACATATAGAATAGAGTCAGGCTGCTCAGGAAACACAGTGGCGAAGGTGAAAGTGCCACAAAGCCCTGGAAGTAGTGAATGGCTTTTTTCTTTTTTGGGGAAGACACTTTCAAATATCTGGGCGAGCTCACTGTCACCTGCACCCCCCTCCCCCCCCATGACTTCCTGCCACAGAAGCCCTGGACAGAAATAAGACTTAAAGCCCAGGCAAGGGGACAAAGGAAGCGTCAGCCACAGGCCTTCGTGAAGACCTTGTTATCATTTAAGACCCGTTGGTAGCATCATAGCTTGGTCCCCATGTAAGAGCTATTCCCACCGTGCTGTCCCCACCCCTCAGCAGCAAGTTTGGACCCCAGACACAAGAACACAGATCTTGACAGTTCCTGGGGTTCAATCCAAAACATTTACCTCAGGAACTATGTGCTTTACCTCTGCAGCAAGCTAAGCAGACCCCATTAAAAACAGCCACCCCAGTGCCACTACAGGCCCTCTACGCGGGACTGGTGTTCTTGGTTTTTTAACCATTTAAAATGATCTCTTCTCCTCACTCTTCCCCAAGAGTTTAAAAAAAACCCACTAGACTGGTGAGAAGGGTGTTGGCCACAATGTGCTGGAGCAGATACCACATTGCTTGTGGGCATCAAGTTCAAGAGCTGCTCAGAATTGTCAAACTCATTACATCACTCAGGCCAGTTAGATGAGAGGTTAAAGTCTCAACAAAACAGTATTGCTGACAAAGGGGATGGCCTCAATCTAGTCCAAAGAGAGCTGGGCTGACCAAGAGGTCAACTGTCGCAAGTTCATACACACAGCAAGACGGATATAACACTGGGAAAAGTCAAGTGCACAGAGAGCCTGAAGTTGTCTCAATGTATTGCAATGTAACAACTGCAATTGTGCTAGTAGTAAAACCTTTGCTAAGGTCCCTTGTACGCCAGCAGAACTACCATATCTTCGTCAACTCCCTTTTCCAACACCAACATTAGGAAGGGCCAACTTCTGTCAGTTTCTTGGGTTAGTACCTAGACTGACAGCCACCTCAAGTCTTAGAACTACCATATCAGGGATCATATTATACCATGACAGGATGGATCGTAAACATACCTGTGGACGGAAAGCTATGTTATAACAATATTAAGAAACTATGTTTGGTGATCACACTTAACATTTTGTTTCTGAACTTGGTTAAAACGTGGAGGGTCATACAGAAAAGGAAACAACATGCTTTATCATGGCTGGCCCAAAGACACGTTTTGCATGGATACTTCTTTACTGTGGACAGGGCTATCATCACAGGCCCGATTAACACTAGAGGGAAAACTATATTTGAAACTATCTCAAACTTCAGTGCAATCACTGCGGGGGTAAAGTAGGTTCTAGCATGGTTGGAAGGGCCAGGGTAGAGATATCAAGACAGTTATAGTCATTCTTATAAAGTCACTTTCTAGCCTAGACTCTATGCAGGAATGGGTAACACTTATGGGAGGATAGGTCTAATAGTTTTAGCCCACTCACCATGGCACTTTGGGCTCTGCCTACACTAGCCCTGAGTAAAGGCACCCATTACAATACGGTTAGGATTAAATCCTGAGTACTTGGTGACTTCTTTCTCCATAACTGGACTAAAGCCCTACACTGGCCAAAGCTATAGCCCTGCAACTTCTAACCATGTTGTAACCAGGTCCCCTGATTTTGTTTTAGCCGCAGCATAAATAGGACCTTACACTTCTTATTTACCAGAACCCGATAGAATATTTTTCACGTCACAATTGCTACCATCTGTAGACAGGATTTAATACTATGGTCCCAGTGAGATCAGAGTCACTCCAGCCCCATCACGTTTCTCAGACTATACCCTGTCTGCAACGGTAACATGCCTAGAACTCTGCTAGCAACATGTTTAAACATGATCATGAGGGGTATGGATCTCCTTGCAGCATAGACCATGCCTGTGTGTTAATCAGAGCTCACAGAGGGATCTCTCTCCTCCTTGTCCAGGCTCTCATCCCTTCAACACTTCTGTAGAGGAAAAATGGTTCACCAGCAGTGGTAGCAAGAGTCAGAGCGTAGTCACGGCTCAAGCATTTTACCACTGTGTTGTCTAATCCTACACGTTGGCAAAAACACCTGAGCTCTGTCTACCCTACAGCTGCCACTGGTGATGAACTACAGGATACACTGGTGTCAACATAGACAAGACCTACCTGCCATCACAAAATTACTCACCAAGCAAGAGCTGCCAGTATCCAAAAGCCCCCTATTGTTGTCATTAAAGGTTACCGGGGGAAAACGAACTTTATGACAATTCACGTGGCATTAGCCATGCTGCTCTTTTGCTTTTAAAAAGAATTATTCCACATAGCTCGACCCAACCCCATTCAGTCCATTAGCTAGGCCCAAACCAGGCTTGGCCTTTTCCATGCAAATGCTGCCCCAGGGACACATCAGGCACTAACAGACTGTCCCTGGACCCAGTTCCATACCTGAGAGCGTTTCCACTTGGCCATGTCGGGTACCATGTGTATTTCCTTTTTGGGGATCATGAAACTCTGGCAGAGGGGAGGTGTTGCCTCCTCAGGAGAGCCTGGAAGACGAAGAAGAGAGAGAGGTCAAACATAGCCAGATATTAAAGACTCCCCCTTTAATCCCAGCCACTTCTTAGATGGCAACGTTCATTTTTCTGGACCAAAAGGTATTGAATTCTATGACCTGTTCTCACCCTCGTGCTCTGATCCCATCAGGTCTCACATGCTAAGCAGTGTCAGGCCTGCTCAGTACCTTGACGGCTGAGCCTCAAGAAATCCCAGGACACTGCAGAAAATAGCATTATTATTTCTCATTTGTATTACCATAGCACCTAGGAGACCTAGCCGTGGCCCAGGATCCCACTGTGCTAGGCACTGTACAATCACAGAACAAAAAGACCTGTCCAGCCCCAAAGAACTTACAATATCAGTATAAAACAAGAGACAACAGATGGGGGTGGGGAGGGAGTATAAGTGAACAATGAGACAATATTGGTCAGCATGATAGGCTGTGGTCTCAGCACACCACCAGACTAATCATCATCCAATGTTTTGTAGGCGTCATGGCAATCATAGCATTAGGCTAGGTCTTCACTGCAAAAGGTGTGATTTTACATTGGGAGCTATCTCCATGTAAAAATACATCCTCTTTTTGCAGTGAACACAAAGCATCAGTGATTCAGTAGGTGGCACTCTTCTCTCGGTACTGAACTAGTGTCCCTAGGTTGGCTTTAGGGTGATGCTGAGAAGTACGAACTGAGGTTCTTTATAAAGTACGAACTGAGATCCTGGGATGACAGACACAGTAGAAATGCAAATAATTAATGCAGAACATCAGCAACATTCCTGCTCCCTCACCAGGGTACACAGTTAGCCAGGAACCCTCTTTCCCCTGAGCTTTCACAAAAAGGAAATACACCCTGACATATGGGTCACTCCTTTCCTAATTCCTCTGCAGTCCAAGGTGAACAACTGGTTCTAGTCTCAGCCTGCAGTCCCACGCGAGGACACTGCAGAGTTGGAAACATTGCCACAAGGTTAAAGGCATATTTGCATCACATTGCCATTAGCAAACTTAGAATCAAGATGTAATACAGCAAACAACAGTGAATCAGAAAACCAAGAGGGTATTTAGCATGAAATTATGAGCTATATCAGTCACTTGATTAATGCTTTCAACCCTAGAACATTTCAAACCTTTTGTCCAGCACCGAGCACCCAGACACCACTTAAATAATCATTCTTAGCACTAATGGCAAATTCTAAACATAATTTTCCAACAAAAGTTGAACTGCCTAAAAGAAAAATGTTCATAAATCACTTGCACAGTTAATACTGCCTAGAAGTGTTCACCAGCTCTTCCCTTTTCTCCAGCAAGGTGGCACTGTCTAGAATCACAGCAGATGACTAGGAGTCAAAACTCCTGCATTCCATTGCAAGCTCTGCCACAGTCTCACTGTGCTGCTTCAGGAAAGTCATTTAACCTCTCTGTCCCTTAATTTCCCCTTCTACAATACAATACCATTGAGGGTTAGTTAACAGATGTTTGTAAAGTACTTTGAGAGCCTCAGATATAAAGGTGGAATTTTATCTGTATTCAGAAAAGCTGCAGCTTAAACTCGCAACTAAGTAATGTCACATTATTGCAAGTTGTTTTTAAATAATGCTTTACAAATCAAAGACAATAAACAGCAAGTTCAATAAACCCCCAGTGCACTGATAAAGGAAGATGTGAAAACTTTGACTAGCAAAAAGATTGATCCCCTGTAACAGGACGGAGGAGGATTCACTGACAGGATGGCCTGAAGACAAGACACTAGATTGGGACTCAGAAGGCCTGAGCTATGATCCCAGTTCTGCCACTGTTGAGCAACTCACTTCATCTCTCTGTGCTTCTTCCCCCACACACCCCTTGTCTATTTAGAAAGCAAGTTCTCTGGGTAAAGACTGTCTCTTACCAGGTGTTGCATAGCACCTAGCACAAAAGGGGCTACTGTAATATATATACACAACAACTTGTTTCTAGGCAAGAGCCAAGGAACTGTGCTCTGGGGAGGAGAAGAGGGTATTTTGTGGTAAGAACTGACCTTGACAATGGAGACTTGCCCAGTCCTTTCCCCACCAGGAAAACGCCACTTATCCACCTGGATCTAATCCAGCTCAGAGAAGGCATCTCAGGTAACAGAATACCTTGGCCCTTCAGTCAGAAACCAGAGAGCTGCTGGATCTCAGCTCTGCATTTGTTTCTTGTATTTGATTCATTTAAGAATTAATTGAACAACAGCTTCATCCACAAGTGACACTAAGTAGCATTGTTAATACCCTTCCAATTGTCATATATGGGGGACAAACAAATCCCACCTGAATTTCAAAACAAAAAACACTACTACATTTGAATCACCTCTGTACATTTGCTCCAAATTCTCTTTGGATCCTTTTCACTTCTATAGCACATAATCTCTAAAAATCTCAAAGTATTTTCCACATATACTTAACTTCTGAGAGAAGGCAGGTATTATCCCCATTTTACAGATAGGAAACTGAGGCTTCTAGATGCTAAGTAATTTTCCCAGACCTGGAGTAGAAACCCGATATCCTGACTCCCAATCCTCTGCTCTAGCCACTAGCCTAGATTCTGAAATGGCCTGCACCAGGAGATGTTTAATATAGGGGAGAAAGAGACACTTGGCTGAGGAGTGCCCATGCACATTAATAACATCAGCAGCAAAAAGGTTGCTTTGGGCCAGTGGTCTATCCCCAGAATAGCAGCAGCCCAAGATACAGCCAGTGACAGTCAGGTAGAAGGTCCAAGGTGCCAACGACAACTTCAGTGAACCACCATTCCCCCACATCCCCTCTGCAGCCCCCACAAAGCACAGCCACCTCTGACTACTATCCCCATAGTAACCCTCCTAGCAGATACAAGACTTCACCTGTGAGCCAGGGGGAGAGTATGGGGAGGAGTAACACCCCCACCCCCATAGCTAGCATCAGTCTCTCTGGGGCTTCCAGTATGGGCCATCAGAATAACAATCTCAAAGAGGGGCATCACAGCCTGCTCCCCCACACCATGCGGCTCCAAGCACAGGAACAGTCCCCCAAAGAGTACAGCAAGATCCCATCCCTACCAAGGGGCAGAGAACCCTACATTACAGTATCCTGCCACTCACCCTTCCACCCCAGGGTACATGGACTCTTGAGGAGCCCAGCTCTTCCCCCCATTTTGGTGCACGGAGACCACCTGCCCCAATAGAGGGCATCACTCAGACTCCCCCCCCCCACAGTATGGGGAACAGGACCCCTGCCCCCACAGAAAGCATCACCCAGCCTTCCCCACACACACTATGGGGCACAGAGACCCCCTGCCCCCATAGAGGGCATCACCTAGCCTCCCCCCCTCTGGGCACCACACAAGACCCCGGCCCTCACCATAGGGCGCAGAACCCCTGCCCAGTCTCACCCCACTCCCACGTAGGACATCACGCTACTACCCCCAAACACCCCTGCAGAGCTTCCCCTCTACCTGTCTGCCGCTCGCTCTCTGCCATCTTCCTGGAACCAAGCCCCCACCGTTATCACCTTTCACCTTTCACCTCTTAGCACAACTGAACTGTCGGGCGGCCATATTTCTGCCGGGCACGTCATCCACCATAGAGCTCCTCGGGCGGACATATTTGCACGGGGCACTCAAAAGTACCTCGGGGGCCATGTTTGTGCGGGGCGCTCCGGATTCCACACATAGACTCAGGCGGCCATATTTGTGCGGGGCACTCGTGTCAACTAGGAACCTTTGGGGGCTGGCTTAATCTCAGGCCTCAGAGAAATAGATAGCCCCGTGGAACACGAGTCAGTCAGTAGCTAGGGGACTCCCCCACCTGCCTCTGAACTGGGTTACTGTGGGATGGGATGTAAGGCAGATCCAGATCTGGGCACCCCCAAAATCAGGATGTGTGTGCTTCAGAACCAGAGCCGCCCCACTTCATACTCCAGAGTCTCTGAAATCTGGGGTTGTGGCAGGTCAGAATCCAAACCCAGCTCTGGATCCCCATTTCATGGGTGGCCTCTTCTCTGTTATGCCGAAAAAAGCTACATTCAAAGACTTAAAAGGTTTCAAAGCAGGGTGACCATACGTCCCGTTTTGGCCGGGACAGTCCCCCTTTTTCAGCTCTGTCCCAGACGTCCCTACTTTTTCGCCAAAACTGGGCATTTGTCCCAGCTGTAAGGCAGAGCAGAGAGCAGTGGCTGCTGCCCAGGGATCAGCTGAAAGCAACACTGCCCGCCAGCAGCAGCAGAGAAATTTGCTGCTGGCGGGCAGCACTGCCTTCAGAGCTGACCCCCAAGGTGGTGCAGAGCTCAGGAGGTCAGCCGCAGCTGCAGGTGGCACAGGGCTCGGGCAGTGGGGAGGGTGGTTCTGGTGAGCCCTGTGCGTGGTGGAGGGGGGGGAGTGGCTCGGGCAAGCCCCAGGCTGTCCTGTTTTTATTTTCAGAAATATGGTCACCCTATTTCAAAGTCAAGCACCCAAAAGTAATAAATGCCAGAATTAAGGTTCTGCCTGCTTGCACATCTGCATTACACTACAGCCTTTCATTACAGGAATATATAGTATTGTTTACATAGGATCCTTGCCAAATAATTTTGGACAGGGGCAAAACAAGGTATTTTTTCCCTAATCTCATTCTCAGAAATGGCTTGGCCATTTTTGCTGAAACTTTCCCAAAATATTCAGCCTATGGCAGACACCCCACAATGAAAGTTTCAGCTTAAATAGTTGAAGTTTGTCATGGCTATAAGTGAGCGAAAACTATCGTAAAATGGAAAGTGTAAAGTAATCTGAACTATAGATGCCACTACCAGTTCTGCTTATAATAAACCAAACCCCCAATTCTAAATACCCCCCAAACCCAAACCCAGCTCTGGCCCATAATTTTTCAGATGGCCCCTCTCTTTATTAAAGGAGGGACGAGGGAAGGGAACCAGACAGACATCTCTAAACTGTAGGAGGGCTGGAAATCCAGACACAGGTCCATCTACTGCAGATTGATCAGAATGCTCAATTTTGTACAGGATCAAGAGGCAGACATTGTCCGTGCTCCGAGTTGCTGGCAATCAGAATCACTGAGACACTGAGATATAACACATGGGCTGTGGGTCTCATCTCCCTGCAGTACAGATATTTTCTCTTATACTTTTCTATTAGTTTACTATTCTTTAAAGGTTTCCTAGAATGATATCTGCTTTAAGGAGGGATTCCTAGGAAAGGAAGAATGCTTGACACATGAGAAAGAAAACAAGGAGTACTTGTGGCACCTTAGAGACTAACAAATTTATTTGGGCATAAGCTTTCGTGGGCTAAAACCCAACTTAATCGGATGTTAGTCTCTAAGGTGCCACAAGTACTCCTCATTCTTTTTGCTGATACAGACTAACACGGCTACCACTCTGAAATGAGAAAGAGACTGGCCCAAGCATAAGTGGTGGCATAGAGAAAAAAAATGCATAGATAAGAGTGGGATGATGCTGGATGGAGCATAGTCAGCAAACCTAGGGGCAAATCCGGCACTAAGCGTAAGCAGACTAAGCAATTGCCTAGGGGGGCAATCAGCTCAAGGGGGCCCCCTATTAATTATTAGTATGTGTTTTGTGTGGGAGCCCCCAAATATGCATATTTAGGGCCCCCAATGGGTTAGCACTGCCTGGTGGAGGGGGAATAGGAAGGAACAGAGAGCAGAAATAACAGTTAAGAGGTAGCATTGTGCAGAGTTGCAAAGGTGAAGAAGAAGAACATGAGTTTACTGCAGGAGAAAGTCAGGGAAGCGATTTGAATACCTTGGGAGGGGAAAGGTTATATGTAGGCTTTGAAGGATTAAATGTTTATTTGTAGATGTCAGCAAACATTTATTTCACTGCACACACAAACCAAGGAGAAAAGATTCCCATCAATAACTGAAATTTACAGATATGCGAAGTAAGAAAAACATAGTTTGAGAACTTAGATTAAAATCCATTTACTTTTGAATTAGGCTTGTTACAAATGGACTAGCAAATGAATAGTAAAAACACGTGCGATTTGTTGATTTAGGGATATTTACTTTGTGCATTTTGACATGATGTTCACAGTTTGGGTTTGAATGTTTGTAAAGCTTGACCTTTTTACATTTCAGTGTCTAATTAAATAGTTGTCTAAATCCCTCTTTAATTTCCCACAACTGTAAGAAGTTTGATAGACATCTAAAGACATGCTTAAAAATAAACAGAGACATCCAATAACATTATAAAAAAACATAGAAATGGAATCCTGCCAAGCCTAGCTGTGCGGTCAGAGTGGCAAGACAAGCAGGTAATTTTACCTACAGCAGTTTGGATGGACTGGAGTAAAGTGACCATGTGTCACGGCTGCCACCACCTTGGCCAACACACTGAGAGAGTTAAAAGCATGAGCTGTTGTAGACTGAATGAAAGCCTCAAGGCTCATCAGCAGGGGCTGTCATAACCTCTGGGAGTCAGCCCAGAGGGGGACATGTACACATTCCTTGGAATGAACACTCCTCTCTGCAAGCACAAGCCCCAGCTGTCAGAGCCTTTCCCTCTGCTGATCTCTTCTCCCTACCTCAACCCCTGAGAGGCAAAGAGAGAAAGAGGGGGGAGATGCCTGCATTAGTTCAGGCAAGGGATCTGCTGTCATCAGAGAGCTATGCGGAGGAGGGCCTTGCCCCTCACAAAGATGGTAGCGCCTCTGCTTATTGGTTCTTGCAGAGGAGGGATGTGCCCCTCACAAAGATGGCTGCTCTGCTGTGCCCTCCCTTAACGGCTGCTGAGCCAGGGAAGGCCGTGGGGGCTCGTTACGCTGTATCTGGGCTGCTGCTGCTGAAGTTACACTGTAGCTGACTGTCCCCGTGTCTTGCAAGATCAAGGCCGGGGCTGCTGTGTTTACAGGACTTTGCTCACTCAGGGCAGTGGCTGGTAGCCAGGGTGGTGCATGCACGGGGCTATGCTGGCCTTCATAGCAAGGAGTATGGTAAGTAAGAGCCTGATCCCTGCTTTGCAGGCTGGTTTAATGTTCATAGCAAGGAGGGAGGAGGGAGGAGGGGGGCGGGGGGGGGAAAGCTTTCCCTGCTTTGAACAACCTTGGGACAGTGACCCATGGCCTTATCTAGTGGTGTCTGATATGGTCTTGTGAGGATGAGACCAGGGCTTCTAGAGTCTCTGAGAAACTGGCAGAGTTGGGAGAAACCTGAAAGTTTTTTTGCTCAGGGAGATTTGAGGGGGGCAGTGAGATAAATGTCCGGCGCTGACTTTATGGGACGGGTGAGGGAGGATGAGGGGGGAGAAGATCTGGCTTGTACCAATGCAGCTGTAGTGTAATTTTCTCATAGGATGTAAAAAATTTTTGCAAGATAGATCATTAAAAATTAGAGGGTGTGGGGGAAGGATTACTGCTAGGCATAACTCTCAGCTAAAGGACAGGGATTTCCTTTCGATGCATAGTAATTTCACTAAGGGGATGGGATGGTCTTGGCCAGTTGCTAGGATCACTCTTTGGGTTTGACACAGTCCGTGAAAGGCTGCGAATATTGTTCCACTTGGGGATTTTGATTTTGTAATGTTTTCCCCCCTGGTGTCTGTTGCCAGCAAAACATCTCCTAGGTCTTTCCCTGGGCTGGGAGCAACCTTTGTCAGTTTGCAGAACTTGATTATGTGCCTTTATGAACTCAAGCTTTTGCCAAGAGCTAGGTTACTGATTCATTCATCCTTTCACCTGGGCACCACCCTCTTGGTTTTCTTGGGAACTGATAGCAGGGCTGATATGTACCTGCCAGTGTGTGTGTGTTTTTTTTTTAACTGATTAAGAAAATATTCACATATTCCAGGAGGAATATGTCAGTGAAATCTTCTGCATTTGCCCCACTATGTAATTTAACTGGACTCTTTCCTTTCATTTTGGAATCTTGAATTCATGGCTATAGTAGCTGCATCATTCAGCCAAAGTTTGCTTAAAGTTCTCCACGTGCGACGTAGGGGAGAAGTGCTGCAAACTGACTTCTACTCATGAGACTGCTGAACATTCCAGTGCAAAGGACTACATGGTTCTGTTTGGGTTATAGCTGCTGCTAGCAGGATTCTCATAGGCTTCCCATGATCTATGGATGAATATTTCCCCTCAGTTACAACTGTATCATACTAGTGTTTACTAAACCATGCAAAAGACATGTGCTTCTATCAGATCCTGGTCATGCTCCCTGAAGCGGCAATGAAATGGCTTTTGTCAGTTTTATGCCAACACTTAGGCCATTTTCAATATCAGATGAAGGGGAACTGTGGTTGAAAATCATTCTCAGCATCAGTTCGATTTCCTAATGTAGTCAAGGCTCGAAGGAAGTGGGTACCTTTAGCAGTGGGGTGCCTTTAATAAATCTCTTTCCACACCAGTAAGGGGGAAATTATATTAGAACCTTGCTGTCAGGATCACTGTTGAACCAGGGTTGAAACTAGCATGGTTTGAGCCATAGTTAACAGAGCTCAGGAGAATTGCGGATTATTTTTTTGTTCACCTGCTGCAAGAATCCCCTTTTCTCCACATCACAGCTGTGCTGCCTGTCCCAGGACTCATGGGCTCTGTGATTTTAAATTTTTCTTTAATAATATCCATATCATCTGACACTTTACATGTGGCTGGGTGGATGTGATGGTAACAAGTGAATCAGACATTACTTAGACCTTCCTTGTGACTCCAAACCCACAAGTGTTGCTAAGTGAAATCCTGAATAGGACATGAAAGGCCAGTCTACATGGCAAAGTGTACACAAGGACTCTGATTAACAGGTTGGTTTGGTTTGTGGGGATGGAACCAAACTAATACAACCCCCTACTTTAAAGTAAACCAATTAACATGTAATAGGGCCCTGTCATGAGTCTGGCCTTGGGAGAGAAGTAACTTAGGGTATGTCTACACTTACCGTAGGGTCCGGCGGCAGGCAATCGATGTTCTGGGATCGATTTATCGCGTCTGGTTAAGACGCGATAAATCGATCCCGGATCGATCCCGGAAGTGCCCCGGATCGATCCCGGAAGTGCTCGCCGTCGATGCCGGTACTCTAGCTCGGCGAGCGGAGTACGCGGCATCGACGGGGGAGCCTTCCTGCCGCGTCTGGACCCGCGGTAAGTTCGGACTAAGGTACTTCAAATTCAGCTACGTTATTAACGTAGCTGAATTTGCGTACCTTAGTCCGAAGTGGGGGGGTAGTGTAGACCAGGCCTTATGTAGCAAAGCTAGAACAAGGTTTGGCACAGAACACATGAGATGGAGCCATAGGGCGGTCCATGAATTCCCTGTAGATATATGCATTGATGGAGGATCACCTGGTATGTGTGGATTGCCTCCCTTCCTCACGTGGAAAGGAGAGTCAGCGGTCTACTGACTGCTCCTATGTTCCTGATTTGTTCACTGGGATCTCAGTACGTGCCTGGTAGATACTGGCACTAAAACGAACAAGTAAGGGCTGGTTGGGGTAATATCCAGATGTGATGCTCAGATTTTGAGTTTGTGTGGGTGTAATATTTTAATTATTTATTTTTCTTTTTCGCCTTTTCACTGCGATCCATCCATGACTTTTTTTTCTTTTTAATAAAACCCCCAAACAAACAAAATAGCTCTCTCATGCTGTTTCTTACTGGAATATTGTTGCATAAAAGTTTGATTGCTTGTAGGACTGCTCATTTATTACACCTCTACCCCGATATAACGCTGTCCTCGGCAGCCAAAAAATCTTACCGCGTTATAGGTGAAACCGCGTTATATTGAACTTGCTTTGATCCGCCGGAGTGCACAGCCCCGCCTCCCCAGAGCACTGCTTTACCGCGTTCTATCCAAATTCGTGTTATATCGGGTCGCGTTATATCGGGGTAGAGGTGTAATTACATTAAGTTAAACACATGCTGTTGAGGCTGATATTCATCTTATTATTTTTCCTTATATCTGGAATGCCCATGTAACCTTATTGTTGTGAGATGTTTTCTAATGACAAACAAAGTTGCCAACAGCCCAGAACTCATGATGTGCAGTGCTATAATGCTAAATTAGTGTGCATGTGACTCTGGAGACTGGTTATAGGATACGGCCTTTTGTCAGTAGGCTGTTGGTTCAACCCCAGCCCAGGGAGTGAGGTCTGGGCCTTGCCCTGGTCCCGCGCTCCAGCCAGGGAGTGGGGTCGGGGCTTGCCCCGCTCCGCACGGCTCCCAGGAAGCAGCCGGCATGACCCCTCTCCGTCTCCTATGTAGTATGCGCAGACATGGCCAGGTGGCTCTGCACGCTGCCCCATCTGCAGGCGCTGCCCCTGCAGCTCCCATTGGCCGCAGTTCCTGGTCAAGGGGAGCTGCAGGGGTGGCACCTATGGCTGGGGCAGCGCGCAGAGCCTCCTGGCCGCACCTCGCAGCCGGAGGGGGGACATGCTTCCGGGAGCTGCTTGCGGTAAGTGCCGCCCATAGCCTTCACCCCTGAGCCTCCCCCCCCCCCCCCCCCCCGCATCCCAATCCCCTGCCACAGTCCTCCGAACCCATTAGTCCCAGTCCAGAGCATCCTCCTGCACCCCAAACCCCTCATCACCGGCCCCACCCCAGAGCCCGCATCCCCAGCTGGAGCCCTCACACCCATACCCCAGCCCCCTGCCCCAGCCCTGATCCCCTTCCCACCTTCCAAATCCCTCGGTCCCATCCTGGAGCCCCTTCCAGCACCCCAAACCCCTCATCCCCAGCCCCACCCCTGAGCCCGCATCCAAACCCGGAGCCCCCTCCCGCACCCTGAACTACTATTTTCTGGCCCCACCCCAGGGCCCACACCCCCAGCCAGAGCCCTCACCCCCTCCCGCACACCTACTCCCAATTTCGTGAGCATTCATGGCCCGCCATACAATTTCCATACCCCGATGTGGCCCTCAGGCCAAAAAGTTTGCCCACTCCTGATCTAGCTCCTGGCGGACAACCGTTCCCATCAGGAACACTGCCATTGCAGTGGCCACCCCCGTTGGCAGTGTGTGCGGAGAGGGAAAAGCCTGAATAGACCATGGAGATTGGATTCCCCTTTCATCAGTACAGACGCTCCCTCCTGATCAGCTTGTTGGAGGAAGCTCCCGCAGCTGCCTGCTACCCACACGACCTGTGCATAGACCACTGGGCTCGTCTCTCTCCAGAACTCTCAGCTGGGCCCCCTACCCCAGCCCTGAAATAAACAGGAAAACGACCCAGTTGCAGGGGGTGGAGTACGGAAGCGATTTCAAGCTCCTGCTGTCACTGAGGTCAAGGGAAACATTGGAAAAGTGTCTTGCCAGGACATGGGAGGTGGTTTGTTGCCCCTCCCACACAACTGCTCGCATTGCAATATCTGGTCTTTTGTTTTCTCAACAGAATAGTGCAGTCAGATGGCAAAGGTTGCTAAGTGTGTGACTCCCTGTGTATACCATAGAACAGGGTAAGATTAGAGAGGAAGTCTGAGGCAGAGGGAGTGAGAGTTTTACAGAGTTTTCCTCATTCCACCCATGGAGAGGAAGCAGCAGCAGTCAGAGAAGGTAAAGTATGGTACATTATCATTCGACTCTGCAGGTTAACCCCTTCCTTCCTCTTCAACCCTGCACTCTTTCTTCCGGCTTCAGTGATTAGTTTTTTCTTTTAACCTTCCCAGAGATCTTGATCTCTCCGGGCTGCCAGATCCTGCAAGGAGCCAAGCACTTTCTTTGAGGGAGTGAGCACCATGCAGGAGGTGATTGGCACCTTGCAGACTTGGACCCTTTGTGCTTCTCTGTACTTGACCCTGGGGTAGGGATAGCTCAGTGGTTTGAGCATTGGCCTGCTAAACCCAGGGTTGTGAGCTCAATCCTTGAGGGGGCCATTTTGGGATCTGGGGCAAAAATCTGTCTGGGGATTGGGTCTGCTTTGAGCAGGGGGTTGGACTAGATGACCTCCTGAGGTCCCTTCCAACCCTGGTATTCTATGATTCTATGAAAACCCTCCCTCGATTGCTTCTTAGACCAAAGGACATGTTCTAGCCGGTATTGTTTCCCTCCAATCCATAGTCAGAAGTCCCTAGCAAGGAATTTTAAACCACTGGGAGGGAATGAAACAGGAGGGAAAGTGGGGGAAGAGGGCATGGAAAACAGGATTTAAATCCTCGTTAACAGAACCCTGTTAAATTCCTGCCCAAACAAGAGGATGTTATCAAAGTTTTGAGGAAGGGATGGCGAGTGCACTTCTGGTCAAAGTCTGGTATTGCTCTTTGCTCTCTTCATGTTCTTTTTCTCTGCCCAAAGAAACTGTCACAGCACGTATTCCCCATGGAAGGTTTTATTGCCAAAACTATCCTAGCCTGTCCCCCATGAGCCTCTCTGATTCACCCACAATTTCCCCCTTCTTGAAAAACTTCTCCCTATATTTCCCCCCTCCCTCCCTCCCTCCACTTTGCACCTTCCAGTCTCCTGCTGAGCAGGGCTGGATGGGAATCATTTTTGGACCTACCTCTTCTGACGTGAGCAACTGGGGTTGCTGATGACCCGAGAGGCTTGGTGATCCCATAGCCAAGCTCCTCCTGTCACCAGAATGTCCAGCTCCACAGTCGGGCTTCCGGTTATTATTGTTTTATGATTTTGCACTTTCATTTCCTGGGTGGGGGTTGGTAACCCTGATCCAGTTCCAACTTGGCTAAATTCCTCCAGCAGTTTCAGTTGGCTACAGGATTCCTCTTCACTTCCTATCCTAAACTGTTGTGTAGCATTGCCCGCAGCTATGTCCTACCTCAGAGATGGCTGCATTTCATTAGTGGGTGAAACAGTCCCTGTGTACATTCCTTACCTACTGTTTAGTTGTAGGGGATACTCTGAGACAGAGTCCCATTAATGTTTGTAAAGTGCTAGGAGATCCTCAGAGGGAAGATACTAGAGAAGGGCAAATGTGTTATTATCCCAGTGGCAATTCCTTTAGCCGGCTGAGAATCGACATCCCTGTGGGAGGCCGTGTCTCTGCTGCTGTTCTGGATGTTTCATGAGCCTCTCACTTTGGTAACCAGTCGATAAATGTCGGGTGTTTGTGCTTTGAGCGCTCTGCTCCTGATGTTGAGGCTTCCATGTGTTGTCAGGGACAGGGAACTCAATGTATCTGAGCTGTTGATTCCTCTTGTACTGCAGGGAAGATTGTCTGGATGTGTGCTCTGTGGTTTGCAGGCAAAGCCATCTGGCTGGCTGAAGCCGGTGGCCTTGGGGAAGCTCACAGGCAGATACTTAGCCCACCAGGAGGGACTGCCGCGTCTGCCGGTGCCGCCCCTTCAGCAGACCCTGGATCGCTACCTGTTGGCTCTGCAGCCCATCATCAGCGAGGAGGAATGGACCCACACCAAGGGGCTGGTGGATGAGTTCCGGAAATCAGGCGGCGTTGGGGAAAGGCTGCAGAAGGGCCTGGAGAGGAGAGCCAGGAAAACTGAGAACTGGGTATGTGGGCGCTACTTTCCATGAGTCCTGGTCAGTGGAGGAGAGGGTGGAGGCAGGCTCTGAGCCAAGTCCTGTAAGGGCCATCACTGTCCTGGTTTCCAAGCCAGTGGTTCCCAGCCACTGGCCCCTGTGCTTTTCTGACTGGGAATCTAGGCTCCCCCACACACGTCTGTGCTGAGACCTCGTGCGCCACGCATTGCTGCCCGTCTCTCTCTCCGCTGCGTGTACAGAGCTGTCCAAGCCCCATGCTGAGCTGAGGCACATGCAGCTGAATGGGAAGTCACTGGCTGCTACAGCTAAAGTCTTAGTCCTTTAAAATGATAGTTGCCCCCAGAAGGTTGGGAAAGCCCACTGCGCCAATCCCCGGAGCACCAACCCCACCCTATCCAATCCCACAAGCCCCCTGCTCTACCTAGTCTGTAAAATGCCTGAAAAACCATCCCATGACCCAAATCTCACAATCTTCTCCACTTGCAAAGTATTGTGGGATATGGGGTGTTGCAGGATGGTCTTCCAGCCGTTTTGTGGGGTACGGACCACTCACGCTTGCAAAGTGGGCATCCTGCTCTTTGCAATCCAGAGCCTCCATTCTCGCATGCTTCCTGTTTCTGTCCCAGCTCTCTGACTGGTGGCTGAAGACGGCTTACCTTGAATACCGCCTGCCGGTTGTGGTTCACTCCAGCCCTGGCGTGGTTTTACCTAAACAGGATTTTCTGGATCAGCAAGGCCAGCTCAGGTAAAGGCCGTTTTGGTTTTTCTTCCCCAAAGTTTCAGATGTTGTTAGTGGGACTGCTGGGGAGTTGGTTTGGATTGGTGGGAGGAGGTGAGTACTAGCAAGTCTCACCCAGCCTAGATGACTGCTAGCCATGGGGAGGCTCACAGCTACTTCAGCTGCAGCCTCTCCCAGCAGGAAGCATTGTAGGGAACAAGGTAAGAATGCTGGCTATAGGGAGGCGGAGGGCTTCTCCCAGCAGGATTCCCTCAAAAGGGAAAGATGGAAGAGGAAAGATGATCCAGTGGTTAGAGGAGGAGGCTGGGACTTAGAAGACCTAGATTAAATTCCCTGCTCTGCTACTAACTTCCTTTGTGACCTTGGGCAAATTACTTAAGTCTCTGTGTCTCAGTTCCCCACCTGTCAAATGGGGATAATGCACTTCCCTGGGGGGGAGGGGCAGGAGGATAAATACAGATTGTGAGGCACTCAGATACTACGGTGACAGGAGCCATACAAAAGTACCTAAGATACTTTAGGAGACCCTAAATTTGACTTTAGATTCTGCAGGCTTGGGGGAAGAGTCAGACGACTGCATGAATTAGGTTACTCAGCTAATGCTGTGTGTGTCTGCAGATTCATTCAGACTCTGTGCATTTGCAGAGGGCTTCCCACTATTCTGTCATTAGTTGCACAAGTCAAATCCACAGCTGCTGTCTGTCTCCGGTGTGTTTCTTCCCCTTACTCAAGCCCTGTATGCAACTGAACACTGTCAGTTTGTGTGTTTCCCTTCTGCTAATTCATGTTGCAGATGCTGTGTTTTGAAGTCACTCCCACACACATGGAATTGATTCTCTCACCCTCTTTGGAGCCTGCTGCTGATTTTAGTCCCTGTTTTTAGCTCTTTGTTTTCTTGCATGTGATGCTTTGTCTTAGATTTGGGTTCGGCTGTGGGAAGTCCAGGCTCTGTGGATGCAAAGCTGTAGCATTGACCTTTATACAGGGTTCCCTTTTCCACCTTTACCCATCATCACCTGCTCCTGTCATCAGTCTGTCTTCTGGCTGGGTTAAAAATATCAGCCAACCAGAGAAGTGTGTGAGAGAGCTAGAAATAAGAGTGAAAGAATCCTCCCTCCCTGTCTGATGCAAGGTCTTGTATACTCACTTGGCCAGATCTGTCCCAGCCCACGGAGGGGGAAGGATGTCTTAAAGAGACAGTGTAAGGGCTAAAAATCCTATTTTAAAAACTTTTCCTTATATTATTGACTGATATTTATTAAAATCAGTGTTGCCAACTCTCCTGATATTTGGTACTGTATTTTACTTGAAAACAGCTCAGAAACCAGAAGGCAAATACACAGAATCCAACTTCCTTTTATCTCATGACTTTTGATGGGGCCTGACTTATAATTTTTGAATGCTTGGGCATTGCAGTGCTGCACTTTAAAAAGAAAACAAAACAACTACCTTGCTGTCATGCCCTTTACTCTCTGTGTTCTTCTCTGCTTTGAAAATGAAAGGATAGTTGGCTTTACTTTTGGTTCTAGTCAGTTGGGTCAGTTTCACTTTCTCAGGCGCAGACAATGCAAAATGCAGCAAAGTGTGTTTTCAGACACTACAAGGGAATACACAGTGGGGTTTTTTTTGGGGGGGGGGGAGAAGGAGGGTTGTTTTTAAAAGCTTTCTCCGTTGGATCTTTTGTGGAAATGTTTCTTTCAGTTTCCATTTTTTCAAAATTCAGCTGCAGAGCAGCTCCAAGATGACATGGTGGTTAAGCCTGCCTGAGCCCCTTCTAGGCTAGCCGAGCCTTTGTTACTGTCCTTGGAGCTCGGGTACTAGTGCAAGTTGTGCAACAACAGGAGACCTTAGTGTGATGTCCTGCTCTGTGCCTCTGTTCCCCTCACACACCCTTGTCTGTCTTGTCTATTTTAACTCTTCAGGGCAGGGTCCTTCTCTTGTTGTGTGTGCCCAGTATCCAGCGGAAGGGAGCCCCAATCTTCGTTGGAGCCTCTCGGTGCTACAGCCACACAAATACTAAAAAAAACCTGAGTTGGGTCAGTGAACAAAAAAAGTGTTTCATTGGCGCTACCCAGCTAACCCAAAACACAGCCATAGTTGGCCCGGGCTCAAGGTATTAGGAACTCGCTGTGCTCTGCTGTCCCCAAAGCCCGGCATTCTCTCAGCAGAGGGGGGTGAAATCCAAACCACTGTTCTTTCTAGGGGTCAGGATTTCAGAAGTCCCAAATGTTCTGATTTGTATCTCTCTGGTCGTTATGTTTGGTTTTCCCAGGTTTGCTGCCAAGCTGATCGAGGGCATCCTGGATTTCAAGACCATGATTGACAAGTGAGTTAGATGCAGTGTTGTTGTAGCTGTGGTGGTGGCCATATATTAGAAAGACAAGGTGGGTGAGGTCAGATCTTTTATTGGACCAACTTCTGTTGGTGAGAGAGACAAGCTTCCGAGCTTACACAGAGCTCCTCTTCTGTTAGAGGCATTTCTGGCACATTGAAATGTCCCTACTGCCTTTAGTTAGGGAGCCCAGGTCAAAAGTTTCTCTCTCTCTCTCTCAAAGGGAAACTGTCAAGATAAAAATCCATATATCTAAAGACTAGCGCCTCTAATAAGTGTAGCTGACAACAACCAGGGTCACTGGCACTGACAGGACTGTAGAAAAGCAAACTGACTTTCCCTTTTTATGCTCTTTATTTACTTCTGCCTCTTACTCCACCTGGCTAGGGAAATAAGCCTGGTCTGTTCTGCTTCTTGGGTCTCATGTAATGATGTTTAGAGTTCAAAGCTGCAGTGCCACAAAAACTTTTCCCTTCACATTGTGTTTTGGGAGAGACTCTTATGTGTGTACTTGCAGGGAATGTAGCCTGACTGAAGCCCTGCAGACTCACATCCTTAATTTATCCACAGAACTGGTCCAGCTCAGGCAGCAAGAACACACAAGCTTCCAATGGGTTTCAACTCCCCACCTGCAGGGGCATTCTCTATGGTTCTCAACCTTTTTACTATTGTGGGCTACATATGCTGCTGTCTATCTATGTGTTATGTGGGCTGCAACCACACAGGGCCGGCTCCAGGCACCAGCAAAGAAAGCAGGTGCTTGGGGCAGCCAATGCGAAGGGGCGGCACGTCCGGGTCTTCGGCGGCGGGTCCCTCATTCCCTCTCGGAGCGAAGGACCCGCCGCCGCATTGCCGCCGAAGAATGAAGCGGCGCGGCTGAGCTGCTGCTGAAGTGCCGCCGATCGCGGCTTTATCTCTCTCCCCCCCCCCCCCCCCCCCCCCCCCGCCTCGCCACTTGGTGCGGCAAAAAAGCTGGAGCCGGCCCTGCATTCACACAAAATATATTCTTCTAACACTGCATGGCCCTGCGGATGTCATATGGGCTGCAGCTGTGTGCTGATTGGGCTGCAAGCGGCCCGCAGGTTGAGAACCACTGGGTGAGAGTGGAGTCCAGTCCCGCACGCTCCACTCCTTGGTCTCTAAGATGCGGCTGCCAACAAAGGCCTTGTCTGAACTAGGCTTGCAGGTGTGATATTAGCAGGTTAGCTAGCACATTGGAGAAGCCTAGTGCAGACCAAGCACACCGCTTTTAACACATGCTAAACCGGTCACTTTAAAGCCCAGGGGGAGCCCTGACTTTAACCCAACCTGGTTAGCATGTGTTAAAAGCAGTGTGCCTGCAAGCCTGAGTCAGCTGACATGGAACAGCCCTGGCTGTCCTGCGGGTCTTTTATCCCTGGATAGACGTACCCAAAATGTAATTGTGAACGAGGAATCATCGAGTGGATGTGTTTCTAGTGGGGTCCCACAGGGATTTGTTCTTGGCCCTGTGCTATTTAGGTATTTTTATCATTGACCTGAAAGAAAAAAATATAAAATCATCACTGATAACATTTGTAGATGACACAAAAATTGGGGGAGTGGTGAATAATAAAGAGGACAGATCACTAATTCAGAGCAATCTGGATCACTTGGTAAACAGGGTGCAAGCAAACATTATGTGTTTTAATACAGCTAAATGTGAATGTGTACAGGAACAAAGAATGTAGGCCATACTTACAGGAGATGGGGCTCTATCCTGGGAAACCCTGATTCTGAAAAAGATTTTGGGGTTGTGGTGGATAATCAGCTAAACATGAGCTCCCCGTGTAACATTGTGGCCAAAGGGGCTAATGTGATCCTTGGATGCATACACGGGCATCTTGGGTAGCAGCAGAGAGATTATTTTATCTCTGTATTTGGCACTGGTTCAACTGCTGCTGGAATCCTGTGTCCAGTTGGAGAGGGTTCAGAGAAGAGCCATAAGATTAAAGAGTTAGAAAATCTACCTTATAGTGATAGACTCAAGGAGCTCAATCTATTTAGCTTAACAAAGAGAAGGTTAAGGGATGACTTGATTACCGCGGGTAAGTACCTGACCGGAGAACAAATATTTAATAATGGGCTCTTCAATCTAACAGAGAAAGGTATAACATGATCCAAGGGCTGGAAGCTAGACAAATTCAGTCTAGAAATAAGGTGTCAATTTTTAATGGTGAGAGTAACTGACCATTGGAGCAATTTACCAAGAGTTGTGGTGGATTCTCCATCTCTGACAATTTTTAAATGAATATTCGATGTTTTTCTAAAAGATCTGCTCTAGAATTATTTCAGGGACATTCTCTGGCTTGTGTTATACAGCAGGACAGACTAGATGATCACAATGGTCCCTTCTGGCCTTGGGAGTCTATGAACTGAGACCCACCACACAAAGAATCAGATGGCGACAACTAATGGTCACTCCAGACATAGGCCTGGATTTGAACCTGTGTCCTGTAACCCACTGCTAATCCCCTTGAAACAACAGGTCTAAATTCCATGCATCTTTCAATATAACAGGCCTCAACTCCTGTTGGCCTGATGTTGCAAAGTACAATGGGCTGCAGCGTAGGCCCATGGGTCTGTTTCTTCCCAGGCTAGCAGATGTGGCGAAAAGGACCTTGCCCCTACATAAAACAAAAGCCAGCTAAGGTACATGCTGGGTAGCCTCTGCTTGAAGAGTTGGTGGGGATGATCAGCCCCCAGTGGAGGAGACTTCTAATATCCACATCTTTTAGGGCTTGTACACACTAGCATTTATTTCAGTATAACTTAAAAGCCACCCCCTTGAGCGATGTAAGTTACACCAACCTAAGCGCCAGTGTGGACAGTGCTATGTCCATGGGACAAGCTCTTCTGCTGGCAGAGCTACCGCCACTCGGGAGGCGGAGTAATTATGCCAATGGGAGAGCTCTTTCCCATGGGCATGGAGCGTCTGCACTAGCAGCGCTAGTGGTGCAGCGCCATCAGTACAGCTGCACCCCTGTAGTGATTCTAGTGTAGACTGGCCCTTAGTGTCTCACTGGAGCAGCTGTGATAGGGCGCTGGACATGGGGAGAGCATGCCAGGTGTGGATTGCTGGAAGGCAGGCATTCTGATGGCTGTTTTCTTCCCTCTCCCACCCTGCTCCCTCTCTTCTGTGCACGTTTCCAGTGAGACCCTGCCAGTGGAATACCTGGGTGGGAAACCTCTTTGCATGAACCAGTACTACCAGATCCTCTCGTCCTGTCGCATCCCAGGCCCGAAGCACGACTCCGTTGTGAACTACGCCAAAGGAAAAAAGCCGCCCTCGCACATCACTGTGGTTCACAACTTCCAGGTACAGCAGTGCCTCGGCTTAGTGGAAGTCTTAGGAAGGCTGGCTTATTCTTTTGGATTTGCCAAAAAAGAGAAATAAGCAAAAAGGCTCTGAGTACAAGGTTCACCTCCCCAGGGAACCAGTCCCGCTCCCCCTGAAGTCAGTTGCAGGTTTGCCGTTAACTGGGAGCAGGATTGAGCCTCATGGCAAGGACTGCAGTGTGGGTGAGCTGTATGTGAGTGCTCCATTCCCACATCTCTCTCCCTCCTAGCTCCAGTCCCTGAAAGTTCAGTCTCCTGCTCTGGGTTTGGAGCTAGAAATTGCTGGTTTGGGGGGGGGGGGGGGGATAATGGACCCAACAATCATGGCTAGGGCCCTACCAAATTCATGGTCCATTTTGGTCAATTTCATGGTCATCGGATTTTTAAAATCGTAAATTTAATGAGTTCAGGTATTTAAATCTGAAATTTCACGGTGTTGTAATTTTAGGGGTCTTGACCCAAAAAGGAGTTGTGTGGGGTGGGGGGTCGCAAGGTTATTGTAGGGGGGGGGGGTTGCGGTACTGCTACCCTTACTTCTGTGCTGCTGCCTTCAGAGCTGGGTGCCCAGCCAACAGCCGCCGCTCTCTGGCTGCCCAGCTCTGAAGGCAGCGCAGAAGTAAGGGTGGCAATATTGCCACCCCCCCCTAAAATAACTTGTGACCCCCTGCAACTCCCTTTTGAGTCAGCACCCCCAATTTGAGAATGCTGGTCTCCCCTGTGAAATCTGGTCTGTTGCTTTTGCCCTGTACTGACCAGATTTCATGATCCGTGACACGTTTTTCATGGCTGTGAATTTGGTAGGGCCCTAGTCATGGTCAAGTCTCAGAAATTGTAGAACCTGGAAGGTGTTACGAGAAGAGTGGTTTCCTTTGTCTGTCTTAATTATCTGGCCCTCATTACTGCAGTATCCAAGAACCTGATAATCTTTAACATATTTGTCCTCACAACATCTCTGAGAGCTAGGGAAGTGCTATTACCCCATTTTATGGATGGGAATCTGAGGCACCAATAGGTTGTCATTTGCCCCAGGTCTCACAGGAAGCTGGTGGCATAACAGGGAATTGAACCTGGGTCTCCCAGCTCCCAGGCTATGGCCTAATTACTGGGCCATCCTTCCTCTCCACCTACCAATCATCAGCCCCTTAGCTGAGCCCTCAGCATTGCTCTTGCCTCCTGGAGGAGGCTGTTGTCAGTCTGTGTGACTGGCTGCTATAAATCCTTTGTCTCTCCCTCCTTCCCAGTTCTTTGAGCTGGATGTTTACAGCAGCGATGGGAGCCCCCTCACCACCGATCAGATCTTCATCCAGCTGGAGAAGATCTGGAACACCTCCCTCCAAACAAACAAGGAGCCAATTGGGATCCTCACCACCAACCACCGAAACAGCTGGGCCAAGGCCTACAACCACCTCATCAAAGGTCTGTCCTGCCCCGCCCATGCTGGAAACTGCTGCCCTCCATGCAGTGCTGTGCGCCCTGGGCTTCTCCCTCCTTTACGAGCCCTCTGCAAGCAGACACTGACCAGATAACTGGGCTTTCTAACAGTCTGAGTGTGGGAGTATTTATCCAGCTGGGTTGTGTCCAGATTAAACCCATTGCAAAGCATTGTTATTTCTGTTTAAACACCCTGTCCTCTAAGTATTCAAGGTTTGCTCCAGGACAGAGCTGAAATTTTGGACTATTTCACCCCCAAAATGGATGAAATCCAATAACCCAGCTAAAAAAAAAACAGTGGGCTGTTACAAGTTAGAAGGAGCATCCCTATGAGGCTCACAGCTTCCAATCTGTAACAGCCATGTAGCCCATAGCTTTAACACTCGAATACCACTGAAGCATGATCAAGAGATGCTTCCTGACAAAGGGAGTCAGGGCACCGAGTGCCATCAACCTGCTCTCCTGACTTTTATCCTCCCTCCAATTAAATGAAGTTTTTCAACCCACTTCCATCATCTTCCACTTTTTCCCCCCCTTCTCAGACAAAACCAACAAGGAGTCAGTGCGTTCAATCGAGAAGAGCATTTTCACCGTCTGCCTGGATTCACCCATTCCTCGGGTGTCTGACGACATCTACAAGAGCCGTGTGGCAGCTCAGATGCTGCACGGTGGAGGCAGTCGCTGGAACAGTGGGAACCGATGGTTTGACAAAACCCTTCAGGTGGGTGCTGGTGTTTTCGAGAAACTAGAGGCACGGGTCTGGGGGAGACAAACTTCCTGAAACTGGAACGTCCCCTGAATCATTCAGTAGGAGACTTTCCCAGATCAAAAGGGGCATGGGAAGTGAGAAGAGCAAGGGGTTGATGCCAACAGCATAAGGGCCTGTGGGCTTGGTGGAGAATGTTGGGGATTCTCTCCCGCAATCAAACAAGTTCTCACTCTCCTGCTAGGTCCACCGAGCTCTCATTGTTTCCTAGGTTCGTGGCAGCACTCACTCAATGCAGCCAAGCTATTCTTTGTATTACTTCTGAATTAATTGTCTGCTTGCAGTGTACAATGACTTGTCTGTTTGGAGGCTGACCAAGCCTAACAAGGTCTGTTTCTTGTATTTCCCATGGGATTGTTGCTCTCCCTGTTTGTTTGCCAGAAGCTAACCTGCTTCTTTCAGGCATCTGCCACCATCCCACAACATCTCTTCAATCCCCATCTCCCTTCAGCTGTATAATGGTACCATTCAAGGATCGCATCCTCCATTAGGAGGCTATCTCCGGGCCTTTCAGGGGGATGTAGCCCATGCTCTGACAGGACTCTTCTTATAATCCTGACATTTTGGGTTATTCAGCTTCTGCTTGGCATTACTTGTTTACAGGGCAATGCCAAGTTCTTCTAGCTTTGCAATTAACCAAAGTCTGCATGGAACTGGTGGGGGGTGTTATATGGGACTCCAAGGAAGTCAAACCCTTTGAAGCTGTACCATACTGCAGGGTACACTGGCCTCTCTGATGCACATTCTGTCAGTGGGACCATCTTCCATCTGCCTTATTGAATATAATGATGATACCAAATCCTCCTAGCCTTGGTTGTGGAGTTTCTTCCTTCTGGGAGCTGGGTGATGACTTTGCGGGTTACCATGCGCTGATGGGGCTGAGGTCTTCTCCAGCACATAGTAATGAGATGTTGAGACCCCTCTTGGGCTGGTGCTGGCACTGTAGAGGAGGCCTCTCTTCACTGCCTTTTTGGTTTCCCTGGCAGTTTATCGTTGCTGAGGACGGCTCCTGTGGTCTGGTGTATGAGCACGCTCCCTCGGAGGGCCCGCCCATCGTTGCCCTTCTGGATCACATCGTGGAGTACACGTGAGGCTTGCTCACTTGTCTCTGAGTCAGACGTGGCTCTGACCGTCCATCCACAGTAAAGCTCCCCTTCACCAGCTCATTTCCCCCCTCCCGCCCCAGGCATCTGTTTTGGAGGCGCTTTAATAGTGTCTCAAGTTAGGTACTGCAGCTCTTGTAGCAATGACCAGGGATTAGCCACCTGCTGAGAATGGTAAACTTTGCTGCGGCTTGAACTCTCCAGAGAAGCCACGGCTTACGTTTAATATGGCTGTCGGGTGGCAGAACGTTTGCTCCTGATGGAATCCATAGAACATTTTTTTAAAGGGTTCGAAGGGCATTAGACCTGTAATCTCTTGGTGAAGGAATCACTATGAGCCAAACTTCTGCATTTGTTCTCCTAGTTTTTCACCAGACGCAGACGTGGAGAGAGCAGCTGTCAAGTCCGTAAGGCTGAAATTTGGGACAGAGGGCTTTGCAGTGTATGACACAGACTCAAAATGTCATAGTCAGGGATTTACACCATGTTCACTACAGCGGGATCTGAGTCTGTCTACTGGGCACCAGAATCCTATAGGCCAAAGGGCTGGAGAGAGAGGTCTGGCTAAATGGTTTCAGTGCTGTTTCTCTGTGCAGGAAGAAACCACAGCTGGTGAGATCACCCATGATTCCTCTGCCAATGCCCAAGAAGCTGCGGTTTAACATCACCCCAGAAATCAAGAATGACATAGAGAAGGCGAAGCAGAACCTCAACATGTGAGTAAAGCGGGTGGGAGAGCTCAGTGAGTGAGCAAGGGAATAATCTATGTGCCCACTTGGAGACCTGGGTGGCAAAGAAAATGGCAGTGCACTATTCGGGAAGCCTGCCCAGTGTCTTGTCGGGCATAAACTATACTGTATGTGGCTGAAAAGTGCATTGCTGAGCCTCCTCCTGACAGGTGACTGCTGTACTGAAAGGGGACTTAACTGCTTATTCATCCCAATCTATTTATGGAGAGGGATGTCTCTGATCAGGAACCTGACCTGCTGTACTGGATCAAGCCACTGGGCCAAGTAATGTGGGATCCTGTCTCCAGCAGTGGGAAAATCCCTTGCATCTAACCAGTTGCACAGTGCTTCACTTGGTGTATCAAGTTACTGAGGTTGAGCTCATTGTGAAAAGATCGGGTGGGGCAGATCCCTTTGTCCTCGTGCAGATTTGGTCTGAGCAGATTGATGTCTCTGGGGTGCACGAAAGCTCTGGGGCGTGGGCCTTTGCCACGTAATAGCAAGGAACATCCTGAAGAATTTCTCTTCTCCTTCTCTCTCTGCAGAATGGTGCAAGATCTGGACATCAAGGTGATGGTCTTTCACCATTTTGGGAAAAACTTCCCCAAGTTGGAGAAGATAAGTCCAGATGCGTTTATTCAGATGGCCCTGCAGCTGGCTTATTATAGGTAAGGAGCAGACTGCGGGCAGTTAGCTTTCCAGCCCCCACATCTCTCTTCTAAAGAGCCTCAGGGAATTCTTACCCTGCTCCACAAAACTGCTGACTAGAGGTCAACACCAAACCCAACTAGCTGGGCTTGGAAAAAGAACCGCAAACACCACTGGGCTACAGGGTGGTGCGCTATTGCAATAGCCCACTCTTTCGCTATGCCTCCATGTGGGAGGGTTAGAAGTCAATGGCTGATGGATCTACAGCTATGTGCAGACATCCGAAATCCTGCCCTTTCCCCATGCAATGGAACAGCACTGGTTCTGCTCTGTGTAGGGCCCTTCGTGGTCACAAAGGAGTGGGCAAGATTAGCCCCTCCAAGAGCAATGCATGAAATACCAGTAGAGGAGGGTCAGTCAGCTAGGGATGCAGCTTGGTCCACGTAATTACCATTTCTTCTGATCTTTCTCATCCTTCCTGCATGGAATTTACTCTTCCCTGGGAGGTGGGGAGGATGCAAGGGAGAAATACAACAGCTGTATCTGCATACTTCGGACCAGAAATTCACCTGCACGATTTCCCTGCAAAGGATAAGATTTGCATAGCCCCTTTTTGTCAAGGACAATTCTTCCTCTGTGGCTGCTTCTCCTCCCCATCTTTCAGGATGTATGGCCAGGTCTGTGCTACATATGAGAGTGCCTCACTGAGGATGTTCCGCCTGGGTCGGACAGACACCATCCGCTCTGCCTCCGTGGACTCTCTGAAGTTTGTGCAGGCAATGGACAACCCTAGCAAGCAGGTGAGAGTTCCAACAGATGAAGTGAATTAACATCACCCCAAAGAAAAGGGAGAACTACTTTTCAACTCACCCTAGAAGGGTGGCATCTGTATCCTCTGGTCTCAGCCAAAAACTGCATCTGATCTGAGGTTGTTTTAAGGTACAATCTGGAGTACATGATTACAAATCTTGGGTCTCATTCAGCTTTCTTTTTACAGCTCTGTAAATCCAAGGTGAGTGTTTCTAACCCTATATCACGTGACTAGTCTGAATGTCTAACCAGTCAGGCCCTAAGTACTAGATTATTGGACCTGAAGGTTCTCCATGTATCATTCAGAAGGTCATTTCCTCGTTTTGGTTTTGACCTATGAACTTTGGATAATATACAGGAAAACAAATGTACTATTTTGGGGAGTAGATTTGCTAGAATATGTTTAAATTAATAGGGATGAACACAGTTAGTAGACTGTATTAACTTCTAAAATTTTAAATTAACTATAGCAATTTTTCTGGATGGGGAGTTGTACAAATATGGAAACAAGCTCCCAACTACACAGTATAGTGTTTGGGGTGTCCCAAACTTGGAGACACAGAGACACTATTGGTTCCAAGCATGTCCAGATTCAGAGAGAGGACTTGTGATTCTAAGTATTCAGGACTGATTTCAGTCCTTCCATTAAAAAGATAGGGACTCTGGTTCTCTTTTAGAAGACAAAGAATCGAGACTAGAACCTAGCAAGTGATGAAAGTCAGTTCACTGGGGATGGAGTTCTGAGTCAGAGTTCAGCTGTTTGCTGTAGGCTGTAGAACCTCTGTAGTGATCCCCTTGCAAAGACTTGCCTCCTTTGGTTGCAGAATTGTCCTTCTGTCATCTAAATTGTTCCACTGATATCTCTGCTTCCAACAGTTCTAGGATAAAGGGACACTACTGGTAGTTCCCATGGAATCACTTAAGGATAGAGTCTCGTGAGCTGGAAGGGAAGAGAAATAATTCAGCCAGACAATATGATCTAAGTTAACAATAGCTTGAAGCAGACACCTGCTGGGGCAGAAGAGCCATCCTGCAGGCGAGCTACTGCAATCACTGCGCAGCACACTTTTAACGTCCATTCCATGTCTTCTCCTTAGAACCAGGAGAAGGTGGAACTGCTGAGGAGAGCTACGCAGGCACACAGAGCTTACACAGATATGGTGAGTGTCCCATACAGCTCCAAGGCTGGGACTGTGCAGAGGTAAGCCAGGTGCTGCTGGAAGAAAAATTCCAACTTATGGTGCTAGGCATATAAGCCAGCCTGTTAATGCCAGTTAATGCTTTGGAGCCCTGATTGTACTCTTCCTCTTTGCACAGTTCCTTCAGTATCCATGGTGACTGGGGGCAAAGGAGAAAGCTGCAGACTTGATTTTCTATGCTCTGAAGAATTCCTATTCTTCCCATCACCAGGGTCTGTAGATGCCAGGGTTACACAGGGGGGGTTTAAAATCACAGGGATCCCATCCTGAGATGTTACAGGGTTTGCTTAGTTCCATCTGTTTGTCAAATGTTGCTCTTAACGGACAGTTAGTTTTTTTTTCTTTCTACTTTAAATTTAAGAGGATTTTTAAGATCTGGTTTCAGACTGAAGATAGTGCTGATTTTTGTTTCCCTGCCTCTCCGGTCTCTTATCCAGACTCTCTTCCTTTCAGGCAATAAAGGGGAATGCAATAGACCGTCATCTGCTAGGCATGAAGCTTCAAGCCATTGAGGATCTAGTGAGCATGCCGGAACTGTTCATGGATACAGCCTATGCCGTTGCCATGCACTTCAACCTCTCAACCAGCCAGGTAAGAAGTGGCTGACCAACATGAGAGTGCTGCAATCATTCTTTCTCCCTTTCTTCTCCACATTCCTCCACCACCCCCTTCCTTTAGGAACTGCTCTGCATAGGTGCCATAGGAATCTAGCCCCACAACAAACTGAGCTGGACCTTTAAAGAGGTTGTGAGGTGAATCTGAAGACTATGACTTTACAATTGCTAGAGCCATTCTAACAGATTATCTTCTTCACCCCAGGCTGGACACTGCATTGCCAAGTAGATACCAAGTGCCTGTGGTAATGAGGAGGCCCTGCCTGCACAATGTAACAGCAGCAGTATTGCATGAGGCTTATTGTCCTTATGAGTCTACTTCAGTGGATAACTGCTCCTCCGCAAGTCTCTTCAGAGGGTGATATGAAGCACTAGCACAGTGCTGGGGAATGAACAGCAGAAACAATTGGTTTATTTGTTTATTTATAAAGCATCCACAGTGTGTACTAGGAGCTGAACAGATGGGACTGAATATCATGCTCCTGCCCTGGAGAACTTACCTGGGGTGGTAGTTGGGAATAGTCCATTCGATTTACCCTCCCCAACAGCTTTTGTGATTTTCTGCCTCTTTTTGTTTGTTTCCCACCGTAGGTCCCAGCAAAGACAGATTGTGTGATGTGCTTTGGTCCAGTGGTTCCAGATGGCTATGGAGTCTGCTATAACCCCATGGATGACCACATCAACTTTGCAATGTCGGCGTACAACAGCTGTGCTGAAACCAATGCAGCCCGCCTGGCACATTACCTGGAGAAGGCGCTACTGGACATGCGTCTCCTGCTCCAATCCACTCCCAAATCAAAATTGTAAGAAATGAACCTGCTTCACAGCTCCTAAGCTTTAGGAGCTGTCCCATGTGCACAAGAAGCTCCCAGCTCTCCAAAAACTGGGCAACAGGAGATGGGCTCATGGCACACATCTCTCTGCAGAGAAGTTAAGGAGTGGTAATCTCCAGCTATCAGATTACAAGGTGAAAGGAAGCATTGCCTTATTCCAAGCTAGAACTGAGAGAGATCCTTTCCCACAATGTGCAAAGTGCACCTTTCTTCCCTTGAAGGGATACTGGAGCGACATCTTTTTATTGAATTTACAGTGGAAAGAACATAGAAAGCACATTCTTCACCCCGTCCTTCACTCTTCATCCACTAGGGGGAGTATTCTCCTGGCTGAGTAGGTCTGAGGCCACTTGGATCTTTCTGCTGGCTCAGGCTTTTGAGGGGTTGGGAATATCTCTTTTGGGCCATGCTGTGCCTCCCAAAGTGGTGTCATTAGTGCCATTGAACTTTGGGGGGGGGATAAATGCCGTAAATCGGAGGAAATCCAGTACTGTTAGGATGCATTGTGCTGCTTTTCTAGAAGTGTTTTCCTAACATAACCTTGCTAGGGGACTGGTCTTTGTGTGCTTTCCACAGCTAGGAATGTTCCCTTCCCCATCCTTCTAACACCTGGGTCTTCCCTTTTCCTGCACTTTCTCCACTAACTGTGAAACACCATTGCTACAATTGGACTCACTTCCCCTACTCTGGCCTTTTGTGTGTGTTTTAAGCATAAAGTGATGGATTGCTGGTGGGTCTCCATCTCAGAGCTTCAGGCTCTTCAAATTGAGCCTCTTTGGCTTTCTTGTGTTGCTTCTACTAAACACATGCATTTTAATTGATTTTTTTTAATTGTGCAGGCTCTGCTGGCCTTGACTTTATGCACTTAAATATTCTGTAGTGGGGAGGGATGATATAGACCTTGATGTTGTTTGCAGAACCTGTCCTCTTCATTCTGCCCCTTCTCTTTCAAATGGGAAAAAAAGATGGGAACCATGTTGACCTTTGTTACTTTCAAACTGAAATATCATGCACTGCTTTCTATGCTGCATTTATTTTAGTCTAAGGAGATGCTGCATAAGTAACTTAATGAGTCCTTCTAATCAAGTTTCCAAAAATGTCTCCAGACTGCATAGGTGGTGATGTATGTTGGAATTGAAGAAAAAAAGGCTGCAGAATGACACTTCTCCCCTGCTGTATGTTATCTACTCCTACCAAGCTTGTGGTTCCTCTAAAATAAGGGAGGTAGTGAAGAAAGCACAGGAGTCTACTCTAGGATGTATAGACTAGGTCTGTTCATTGCCCCTAACAACCGCCTTTTCCATAGGAATCCGACAGCGCTTCTTCAGCAGAACCTGGTTTCTTCTTGCCTTAATGTTATTTATACCCATGGTGATTTATAATTTCCCTCTTTCGTGGAATATAGTCACGTCTGTGTTGGTTTGATTGAACCTTTAGAAAGGAAGGAATTATATATTTATAAATGTGCAATTTAAAAAATATTGTGACACAATAAGAAAGGAATATAAAACCGCCAATATCTTTCCTAGGGCAGCAGGTGAAACCATAGACCTACTGCCATTAGAGAAGAAGGTGCATTGTTTGCCCCCACCGATGCTATTCTTGCAGTGGGATAACGGTAGTTCTGCAAGCCCAGATGTGTGGGTGCTGATCCAAGGAATAGCTTGAGTTTGTAGTCTGTTTTATCACATGAACACTTGTCCATATCACAAAGCCACCCAACCAGTAGGGTCATTACTGCTCTTCTGGTGTTGGGCCTCGAGAGCATTCCCAATCAAGGTGCCTTGGTAGAGGGGTGTGACCAATTTGAAGTACGTTCATCCTACTATTATTGAAAACCTCTCTTTTATGAGCACTTACTCACCCCATCTCACTTTTTAATTGATGCAAACCTGCTCTCAGTTGTTTTAAATTCAAATTCCACCCCGCAACTAAATAATGAGGGGAAAGTTTTACTGAAACTCACCTTACAGCTAACGATTGTACAAACCTCCATTAAAAAATTTTAAGTTTAAAAAATATTATAAATGGAATGAGATGGTTAGAAAGCAACGGGAGCATGTAACGCAAAGCTCTGAGCACAAACACACCTGCTCTAGCTATCTAATTCTTCCATAATGAACGAGACTGACGGTTACAAGAGGCCACCCAAAATCTTAATCTGTATTAATATTTATTATATGTAATGAGTACTTACATAACCATTTAAGAGACTGCAATCTTCTGGAATGAATTGGAATGGGTAAGGTCTTGCTGGGATTAAAAAAACCACTACTTTTTATGGAGACTTTTATTCTGGAAGAGATTCCTTTAGTCAGAGACAAAGTAAACTTTTTTTTCCTCCCTGTATGTAATGAGTCAATATAGTGCCTGCTGATAACTGTGGTCTGTGGCCAGGGGGCCAAAGACCAAGTGCCTTCAACCACGATATCGCTACATATTGGCATGTCTTATTATTACAAGGCTAATTTCAGAAACTAAGAACTCTCTCTTCCCCCCCCTTCAATAAGAGAGAAGTAATCTCTCAAAGGCAAGTGCCCACTGAAAAGGATGAGATGGAAGTGCACTCTGCTATTAATGGAAAACATAGGGGATGGGTCTGATTTTATCTTAAGTCAGATATAAAGCTGGAGATCCCATTGGGTTACAGTGGCATTTCTCCAGCTGTGGCGCTGAGGTCTTTATGTGCCATGCATAGGGAAACACAAAAGATTCTGATCCGGCTTGTGCATTCTCTCTTCAGGATTAACAGGGGAGCTGCTTTATTACATTACAACTGTTTACAGGGTTTTCTCTTTTAAAAAAGTGTTTTTTCTCTTGCTGTTGCCAATTTCAAGCTGTGGTGATGTCCCTCTGACTCATCACTTCTTGACTTATTTTTCAGTGACCAGTTATTTTGAGTGCCGGGTTTGTTTGTTTGCCCTTTATTAGCTGGTCACTTGCCCAAGAAGTGTCCATGAGCTTAAAGGCTATGTAAAATTTATGAAGAAACTACTGATTTACTGAATAATTAGGGAAATATGTAGATTTATAATAGATTCATAGATTCTAGGACTGGAAGGAACCTCGAGAGGTCATCGAGTCCAGTCCCCTGCCCGCATGGCAGGACCAAATACTGTCTAGACCATCCCTGATAGACATTTATCTAACCTACTCTTAAATATCTCCAGAGATGGAGATTCCACAACCTCCCTAGGCAATCTATTCCAGTGTTTAACCACCCTGACAGTTAGGAACTTTTTCCTAATGTCCAACCTAGACCTCCCTTGCTGCAGTTTAAACCCATTGCTTCTTGTTCTATCCTTAGAGGCTAAGGTGAACAAGTTTTCTCCCTCCTCCTTATGACACCCTTTTAAATACCTGAAAACTGCTATCATGTCCCCTCTCAGTCTTCTCTTTTCCAAACTAAACAAACCCAATTCTTTCAGCCTTCCTTCATAGGTCATGTTCTCAAGACCTTTAATCATTCTTGTTGCTCTTCTCTGGACCCTTTCCAATTTCTCCACATCTTTTTTGAAATGCGGTGCCCAACTAATGTACAACTAAACTCTTGGATTGGAGGTGTGGTTGATGGCACAGCCAGTGACTTTGCATGCTCTGCCAGTTAAATGCATTAAATGCTTTTTGACAATGTAATCAGTGTCCTGCAAGGATTGGTGATGTTCTTCCAACATAAATAATAAAAGTCTAAATGTTGTCAGCAGGGTTGATTCTATGCAGAACATGCTCTAGGTATAAGTTCGATGATTCTTTACCAAATGATGTTCATTGTGAGTCACAGAACAATAGATCACACAGGAATGTATCCTCTTCCATGATAAGGGAGCAGAGCAAAAGATCAGCTACTTGGAAAGCAAGGAGTCGTTCTCTGAGGGTAGTCATCTACCTTCCTTGCTCCTTTTCAATCCACCTAGCTAAAGGCAGGAGGCTACCTGCCTCTCTAAGACAAGTTGTCAGCTTCTAGCTGAAGTTTCTCTTCTCACATCCTAGGCTGCTCAACTTGGCCAAGAACATACAAGGGGCCTTTATAGGCATTTATCGCTATGTCAAACAACGTGCAGCTTTCTGGGGGATGGAAAAAGAAAGCAGAAGCAGACCGAAGCCCAGTCTACACTTAAAACTTACATCAATATAGCTACATCACGCAGACATATGAAAAATCCACATCGCTGAGCACCGTAGCTATGGTGACTTAACTCCTTCTGTAGACGCAGCTAGGAAAATGGAAGAATGCTCCTATCAGTCATTTAGGTGGAGTTCCTACAGCAATAGGAAAAAACCCTTCCCTTGCTGTAGTCTGAATCTATGCTAGAGTTACAGCAGCATAGCTATGGTGCCATAGTATAAATGGCCAGAGAAAGCAGATGGCAGGAACTGTGCTGGAGAAGCATAGGGCTGTCTCCCCAACCACAGGTTGCAGAGCACTGGCTTGATGGTGCTATGAAGTTGTAGGGTTTAATGCACTGTCACTGTAGACAAACTGCCATAGCCACACAGTATGTTAATCATTAGAAAATAAAGTAAATGTAGTTTTTAAGGTGACTTTTCCACTTCTCTAGGATGACAGGCTCCCTGGAAGAGGTGAGGGATGTGTTAATTACATTTGAAGCAATTTACATTTTTTGCCTCATCTTTGGGAAAATGACTCAACTGCCCCCCCTCCTCCATTTTTTTTTTTTTTTAAGTGAGGGAGAAGAATGGTGGTAAATTTTATTTACTTGGCGGTTAGAAGATAAAGAACCAATTAGTACTGCATTCCACACTGGTGCCTAACTCATTACTACACTACCCTATTACCTAGCTAACTTAGCTACTCGCACTTCCTTTTCCCTCTCTCTCACCTCCCCCTGTGGCCTATTTTAATGAAATGGTTATGGGCCTGAGCTAATGCCTATTAAAGTCACAGCCCACAGCTCAAAAGAGAGGGAGATTAGCCCAGCCAAAGTGCTTTTATGAGAAATAAAAGTGCTATTGTTTTATGTGCAAATGCACTAGAAATCTCAGTGTGGAGAGTTCATATTAGATCACTCCAATGAGTGCTAAATTCAAGAAATTTATTGTAATAGACTAAAATTCCCCTAATCCTTAGTTTAAAAAAAAAATTAAAAAAAACTGCTGCTACAGAGAAAGATATATTCAGTTTAGAACAAGTATGTGTTAAAAGGTTTTCATTCTTAATCACTACATTAAAATAAAAGGACTCTTTCTTCCTAGGCCAAATTCCAGGATTAGGGTAGAATAGGTGCTATAACAACCAATTCATATCACACACACACACACACACGGATCATGGCAAGAGGAGCAGATGAAATCTTTAAAATGCTGTTTTTAAATTAAGATGGCAGAAAAATACAGAGATGATCAGATATGAGCAAAATCACATCTTGCATCAATACATACCAATGAGTTTTTTTATGAAGCTTCAGTAGCTTTTTAATGGAAGCTAGTAAAACATGCAGTAAGACATAGATGGGTATGCATAGTCACTATCCCTCTGTACAGGTGACAGTATCAGACAGATGCTAATGTCCTCCTCTTTGACCCAGCTTGGTAGCTGTACTTGCCCTGGCCTTCCCCTGTTACAAAACTTCAAGCCAATTGCACTGCGAGTCTCTCCACCTTGTTGCTGAACTTCATTGTAATGTCTTGATTACAGGCTAAAAAGTGCAATGGAACAGTCTGTGCACAGCCATGAAGTACATTCAGGATGCACTGCTGACTCACTGTTAGTATAGTCTTCTTAAAATATTTACCAGCCTATTGCAGAGGATCTAAGTACTTGCAGGGTCAAAGAGGCTGTCAGATATCCTATCACAGGGGAATGGTACCCAAGCATCTAGCAGCAGAACTTACTGTCCAGAACTCCAGACTAAGGAAGTTCATCACTTGAAAAACAGTCAAAATGAAAAAGGAAGGAGAAATGAAAGTCCTTACAGAGTAAGGGAAAGATCCCTTAGGAGTTATGCATTCTAGGGAGCCGGTGCAGACTTTTGCAATAGTCTTGACTACTGCAGAAGTCAAAACAAATCAGCATGACCCACGGAAATGTTTGCCAGGGTTAAAACATACTGCCTCATTTCAGCAGTAACCTGTGTTTGAATCTAACTGGGCTCTCCAAAAGTAATTCATGCAGTGCTAAAGCCAGGCATCAGCACTCATCACCTCTTTATTTTTATAAAAAGTTTACTGATGGCTGAAAAGCTCAATGGAAAGATTCATTATCAGAAAGAGGGTTTAGGGCAGAGACTGATCATACAAACTTTTAATACCAGTAAAAGCTTTTTTTAATGACTTTGGGGTAATCCTTAAAAGCATGGAGTTGTGCCTTAACTAGCAGTTATTTAAACTTAATGGTGTCCTTAATCAATAACAGAGTCTGGCTTAAGTTCAGCAACAGAAACTGTAGAGATCTCAGCAGCTCTGGGGTCATAAAAGTACAAAAGGAAGAGGGAGTGGAGGGATAGTTGTAATGTGTATACCAAGTTATTGACACCTAAAAAGAAGAGGGCCCGGGTAAAACAACCTGGCTAATTACACAACAGGAGCAGCAGTGAAGAAAAAAAAATTAGTATATTTTAGGTTTTCCTCTGTGTTTTAACCCCCTCCTCGCCCCCAGTGGTATCCGTGCAGGCTTGCGCACAGGAATGTCACTAGTGTTTAAAAGCAAATCTTTAGTAGTTTCTTTATATCCTTACAAAGTGCAGCAGGAATTGATTTTGCTCTCCCAACTGTTGCAGAAAGGAAAGAAATACCTCTTCCCCTCCTGCCTAAGCCACCCTACCTCCCCCACAAATTCAAAACGCTAAATTAGGCAAGACCTAATTTTGGTTTTGTCTTCTTCCAAACACACAATCAATGCATCACCCACCCCGAAAATAATAGTTCAATTAAAAAAAATAAATAAAATAGTGTGTATATTTCATGCTGCAAAAAAAGTCACAGAAATATGATTTTTTTTTTTGATTCTCCCTCCCCCAAACAAGCCATCAGGTATTTTCTCCCCTTCCCGCGACTCATACACGATGGTACATTCCAACTGGCAATGTGCATTTGTGTTATAAATGAGGTTCTGCTCCTTCACGGTCCCACATGCATCAGGGAGCATCCAGCTAGCTGCAAAAGCCAGAGCAAAGGCCTCCAGGCTTTGAGTATGGTCCCTGCCTGTTCCTTTGGTCCATCTGTGAAGACTCCTTGCTGCTCCCAGGTCTGTACAGGTCTCTACTCTTGTCCTTCTCCATTAAGTCCTGCATTCTGTTCCCATGTCTTGAGTCACTGGAGCTTCGTACCTAGCTTGCGCTGTCTGTTTCTGCAATGAGAACATAGAGGTGGCAGAGTGAGGGAGATCTCCATCACCAGGCATCATAGCACACTCAATGGATAAAGAGGTGGGAGGAATAAAATGAGCTGGATAGACCAGACCACCACATCCAATGTCAAGAGAGTAGTCATTCCTGCTTTTTACAGGCTCAGGTCTGGAATAACCAGAGGATCTGTAGGTCACAACCGAAGTGCATTAGCAAAGGGGTGTATGTGAGAGACCAGACGTGGTTACACAGTGGCTACCCTATTGTGACTCCCTTTTTATGGAATACCAAATTCACCTCACACAGCACAAAATGGAGACTTACCACTCAAGTTATACACTTTACTGCATCCAGAGAGACCCTTTACAACACGGGTTGCAACATTTGGTTTCTCCCCTACTGCTGCAGTCCCCTATGGCTGTGTGTTTGGAATCATTTGTACTTGTTTATCACTTTTTCCAGTTTCATACTGATTATATTTTAACCATACACTCTATTAAAGTCAACCCACAATTTTGCCTCTTTTCACACTCTATACTACCCTGTCCATAAAAGCTACCCACATCAGCTACTTTAATTTTCATATATAAATAAAATCACAACTGATACAGGTAAATAAACCATTACCCTATTGGTGCATGTAACAGCTTAGATACACCTCCCTGTGTGCAGAACCTCCTACCATCCTGCTTACCTTGCCTCTGCTCTGGTGACTGTGTATTCAAACCACAGGATGTTGGGAATGAGGCTGGTATCTCTGATTAAAAAGAACTCTGAAGCTGGCCTAAAATTAA